GTTTGTCCTTCTCAAATTTTTTTTTTTGCAATAATTATAAAAATACAAAACTGGAGACTAACTGAGTTGTTCAGGTTAGTTTTTCAGGTATATGCTACAAAGGTTCATATTCTCTTGGAAGCCAAAGAGATTTCTCATAGTAGCGAGATTATGTGATCAGGTATAAACTTTTCTGGACTTTCCTGTATTACATACGAGAATCACAAACTAATTTAAGTTGGAAATAATGATCTAAGCGCCATTTATTGTTAGAAATATTTCTTGCATAGCTTAACATCGTTACATATGAAAATCACAAGCTAAGTTGGGTGATTTGTATGTAAAGTTAGAATTAATGATCAAAGCGTCATTATAGTTAGAAATATTTCTTAAATAGCTTAAATAGCTCTCTTGATCTAGTTTTTCTCAGATTCGATAAACTTATTGCTATCCATTGGTAAAAAGCTATATTTTACTTTTGGTATTGAACATTAGGTTGTGTGTGAGCAGTCTCTATCTTGCTTTTAGAAGGATGCATTGTTAAATTTCTGTTTTGGAACTTGTATTTATCACAACATCTCAGTTTTTTGAAGTATATATATCTTGAATGCATGTAAGACACATGTATATTATGGTAGTAGTTTCTTTGAATCTACTTGGTACTTAAATGTTTTGCATTACGCTATTAACCTTTGGTGACTAAATCATTGCAATTCTAACATCTGTTGCAGATGATCTTCATCATAGACTGGTCACTAATGGACAAGAAAAGCCCGTTTATTGTTGATTAATTGTTTAGTGGAAATGATTTCCACAATTTGAATTTCCATGTTAGTTTTGTTGGTGTGTTAGATTAATAAGATCTGTCTGGTGAAGACATTTCTTTTACGCTGGTTGTCTGGTTGTTTGTTCTTCGTTAATACCGATTGTGATCTTTACTTCCCTTGATTTCTCTTATGTTGTTGTTGTTTTGATAACACTTTTCTGTGATTGATGTCAACACCAATAAAATTCCAGTAATCTGATTGTCTCTGCTTCAGGTCAGTATTTTGTGAACCTTAATTTGTTACACTTGGATGTTTTGGCAAAATATTGCTTCCTGTTTGATACTAGGGAAAGTAGCGCATTGATATTGAACATTTTAAGATTTTCTCGTTGCATTTTGATGTTAGTTTTGTTGAATAGTGAGCTTTGTTAGCTTTCTATTAGACTAGATGGTGAACACATTTCTTTCATTTTTGTTAGGTTGTGATGTTGGCTTTCGTATTAGTCTGATGGCTTTTTCTTCTTGATATTACAGACAGTTAGTGTGGTGAATTGACTGAACCTTCTTGAAAATATATTTATTTATTCTTGTATGATAATCCAATTAGAATTCATCAATGTCACAGAATGTCTGTGATTGGTATCCATATTCACCAATACTATTTAATCCAATTACAGTTCATCAAAGTTTTGTTTGAACCTCATGTGATCTCTTGTTCATTAAATAGTATTACTTGGCCTCTTAGTCTTTGAAAGTATTTATTTACAATGTGCAATTGGTAATTGGTATTACTTGATTTCCCTTGCATGTTTTTGTCTTTTTTACAACACTTTTCTGTGATTGATGTCAACATCAATAAAATTCCAGCAATATGATTGTCTCTGCTTTAGATCAATACTCTGTGAACTTTGATTTGTTACACTTGGATGTTTTGGCAAAATATTGCTTTCTGTTTGATACTTAGGGAAAGTAGCGCATATTGATATTGAACATTTTTAGATTATCTCTTTGCATGTTGATGTTAGTTTTGTTGATTAACGATATTAGCTATATTAGCTTTCTGTTAGACTAGATGGTGAACACAGTTCTTTCAATTTTTGTTTGGTTGTCCGATACTCTATATTCATTCTTTGTTAAGACTAATTGTGATATCGGCTTTCGTATTATGAATCTGATGACTTTTGCTTCTTGATATTACGAACATTTAGTATGGTGAATTGACTGAACTTTCTTGAATTTGTTTTTGTTTGTTTATTCTTGTAAGTTAATTCAATTAGAGGTCATCAATGCTTGTGATTGATATCCATATGGACGATCATATTCATATGGACGTACAAGTTTTGTTTGAACCCACTTGATCTCTTGGTATGAAACGCAATTTCTGCGTTTTTTGCGTTTTTGTTTCTTTATACTGGTAAATAGAAGTTTGAGAAGATAATCACTTTTGAATCCTTCTTAGACCATCACATTCTGGACCAAACAACATTGGTTTCAAATCTTTCAAACATGATTTCTGCATTGCATCTAAATTTATGTGAAAAGAAATTCAAATTTTATATGTAAATAATATTTTGAGTTTTTCAAACTAGTTCTTTCAAGGTAAAAAAATATTTTAACTCTTAGAGCATCTCCATTTGTGAGATACCATATATTTCACTCATTTCTTCTTAACCTTTTTTACTTTTTTTTTCTCCATTGGTGAGATACTACTCATTGAGATTCGCAACAAATATTTTTTTTTTAATATTATTTAGTTTTTAAACTTTATGCTAAATTTTTTTTTATCTTTAATTTTTAAATCTTTCATTAATCTTTCAAAATAGCAAAACACATATTGAAATATACTTAGTTATGTTAATTAGATATATTTATACTGCAAGATAATTTGTAAATTTTCTTTAAATATACTTTTGATTAACATAATTAAACATAAAAGTTTTTTTTTTTTTTTTTTTTTTTTGATAACCGTGGGTGATCCAAAGGCTTTCTAGGCCCAAGACTAATCCCACGATGCCCACGGCAGTCCACATTTTCTTACCATTTAAGGCAGCCCGGGTGGCCGGGGACTCGAACTCGTGATGGCGGGCACCTCAGCTGAGGCTCCATTACCACCAGACTACGAGGACCCGGTTTAAACATAAAAGTTATATAAAGTAAAATTAAAATACAGAAACTCATATTTTCTGATATTAATGTTATTGTATTAACTTAAATCAATTAATTGTAATATTAATGTATTCATTATAATTAGTATCATTAATATATAATTTAAACTTATTCACAATGGAACTTAATAGAAAGATAAATTTATTTTATGATTTATAAAAATAAAATAAAAAATAAAAAAATAACAATATATAAGTCTGTAATTAATTTTCTAAACTATTGATTATTTAATTTGTTACAAAATATTTGAACCAATAATGAGATACATGTGTCCTAAATCCTAATTGAGGAGTTCTCAAGATAACTTATGAGAATTGACCAAAAATCAAGATTAGTGCGAGATTATCTGAACCAAATGGAAGTAAATATGGTTCTAATATGGTAGCAATTTTTATCAGCGGAAAAACCGAAAAATAAAAACCAACCCGATATTTGGATTGAACACACCTAGTTCTCAACAGTTCTCTCCAATTTGTTTTTCTCTTTTTTTATTTAATTTTATGTTGAGATACCTCAAAGGGATGCTCTTATAAGCTGGTAGTATTAGAGTTGGTGGCTGTTATGTCAAATTCGCAAAGAAAGCAATATGGAAAAACCGGCTAATAAGGGAGCCACACAACACACCAGTGTGAAACTCATAATCATAATCACTTCAAAAAAAAATCAGAGCAGACGATGGTACATGTTAAGGAGAAATTAGCACATTTCCCTGAGCCCGCCACCATTAATAAAATCACAAAAACCCAATCCAACTTTAGTCCTAACCTTACTCAACGAAATGGCAAGACTTGAGGAGAAAGGCACGACTCATGAAAAAATGTAAACAAACCCTCATGCCGACTCGAAAAATGGAAAGAAATCTAGAGCAAGAGGAAGTTTTCCATATCGCTAAAGAGGAAGTTTTCCATCTCGCCGGAAGGAGAATATTCACCAAAGAGCCAACCTATCAACACTATATAATGAAAACCCCCCACTCGTGGAAAAGACATCCATAATCATCTAGAACTACTCACAAAAAAATTAGGCTTAGCATCTTCTTTACTTTCCTCTTGTTCATCATAGTTCATCTCGTCAAGCCTGTTGGCGAGATAGCATCTTTTGTAATCTTCTTGATATTTTTCGAGTTAAATCAAGCCTCTAGTTTTCTAAACTCACATCTTTGGTATCCCGTCTTAACGGGTGTTATCTCAGATCTAACAATACATGCTATCTTTCAGTGCGAGGGTTTATTTTTGTGCACCACCAAAGACAAAAGAATCGTGGTTTGGAACCCTTGTACTGGTCAAACCAGGTGGATCCGGATCCAACCCAGTAATGATCACTTAACTTACGATTCGTATGCTCTAGGTTACGGAAACAACAAGAACAAATATTCTTGCGATAGCTTCAAAATCTTGAGGTGTAGAAAGCATTACGATAGCGTCCGGGTTATGGAGTGTGAGTTGTATGATTTAAACACTGATTCATGGAGACTTCTTGCTGAAGACGCTCAAAGCAATTTAACAGTTTCCTTGGGCTGGAGGATAACTAGTTGTGGCGTGTCTTTGAAAGGAAATACTTATTGGGTTGCTTGTGGTCGACACAAATACCACGATAGTCAATTCTTGCTCAGGTTTGATTTCAAAGGAGAGAGATTTGAACGTTTTTCTCTTCCGTATGGTGGTTACATAGGTACAATGTATCTCTCAGTGGTTAGAGAAGAGAAACTTGCTGTGTTACTTGATAGGCCCAATTTTGATTCGTCAAGAGAGATGAAGATATGGGTGACCGATACTAAGATCATAGTCTGCTCAAGACTCAAGAGCATAATCTCTCTCACATTGTTGGAGATATGAGCAGAAGACTATGCTCTTGATTCGTAGACTTCTCTCAGTTTCATGAACTTGTCGGAAGCAGTTTTAAGTGGTAATGAAGTTGTGTCTGGATGATACTCTTTAGATAGTCTTCGGTACGAAGATCTTATCTCTTCTAGATCAGCATCCGTTGAAACACCTAAGAATCTGATAAAGACACAATTACAAATCATAATCCAATTTTTAAAATAAGGAAAAAAATACAATGAATGAGAATCTTGAAGTCTTTCTTACTGCTAGTGGGAATCAAAAGAGTCTTTGATTAGTTCTGCAAAGTTGTCGTCACTAAAGAGATTGTCCCGGTCGGGTTTGACCGGGTTGGATCCTCCACCTATCCAGCCTTCGTCCGGGCTTTCCCAGTGGATTCTTGTGTGGAATCCCGGCGATGGTTTTGGCGGTTTTGTTGGGCCTTGTGACGAGTGGATATGCATCACTCTTCTTGCCTTCTTCCTACTATATGCTCCAATCTTGTCCCTGAAGTGCGTGCTGTTTTGGATTTTGGGAAGGAACATGCAGGACGTTTGAGCATATGTGGAAGCTGCAGAGCCATGGCTTACTGTGTTTGAAGATGGTTTGTTGGTTCTTCTCTTTTTTTCCTTCATGTTTTTGGTCGTAGAAGCTTGTCCCACGGCCTCATGATATGTGTGGTCTGGATTTTTTACATATCCTTATTGTCCTATCTAATGTCATATACTCATATATATACTTACAAATATATTTTTTTTATCGTTATTGTCCTTCCTATCTAATTGATAGTTAAGTATTGTTCAAATCACTATGTAATTATAAATTTGGAACTTAAATGTTCAAATTATGTGTTATGAAAGGTCACAGTAAATCATAATCCATGATTTCATTTTGGACCTTAGTACCAAATTTCTAAAATATGTTTTACTCTCTAGCATCTAGATTACTAGGAGCTCTGCAGCGGACTTATAGAAACATTCAAACACTTCTTTTTTATCATAACTTGAGATATGTTAGATCCAACAACACTTTTTGATTTAAAGCTTTCAATTAATTTGTAGTGACTTTTGAGTGAAATTAACTTCTACGAAATTTCAAATCTTTCATCATTTTCTCTCAAACGTCAAGGTATGACTCTCTATCCTCTATTTTCTCATACATCAAAATTTGAGTCACATCTAATTCTCTTGATTCATGAGTTGTTTTTTTGCTAGAAATTGATAGCAAGAATCATGGATATGTTTAGGTAGCAAGAATTATGGATTGATGGAGTTTGGTTTTTGACAGTTTAGAATTTTGAAATTTCTAGATTCAGTCAGTTTATGCAAATTTGTTAGAAGTAGACTTGTAAACTGCTATTCTAGAAGTCTTTTTTTCAGTGCCTCCAATTTGCGTATCAATCTTCAAAAATCTGTCAACTTTCTAGAAGGAAATAAAGGGCAAATAATCATTTCTATTCAAATAAAAACTCATAAATATTTATGCTTTTGTATCTTGTCTCAACACCCAACTAAAAATCAGAAGAAAAGAGAAAAACAAAAAGCAAAATCTAAGGAGAAAAAGTAGGAAGAAAAAAAAGAAAAGAAAAAGGGTTACTTACCTACCAAACCCCCACACAAAACACAGCAAATCACAGCTTCTCTGTCTCACACAATCACATGTATGTTACCAACTTGGTCAAAAAGTCACCTCCTTTTTATATAACCTCAACTCTCCTCACATCCCTACTCTCTCTTCTCTCTTCTCTCTTCTCACACACACAAATCATCTTCATTCACCATGGGAAGGTCTCCTTGTTGCGAGAAAGCCCACACAAACAAAGGAGCTTGGACCAAAGAAGAAGACCAACGTCTCATCGATTACATCCGCAACCACGGCGAAGGTTGCTGGCGTTCTCTTCCTAAATCTGCAGGACTGTTGCGGTGCGGTAAGAGCTGTAGACTGAGATGGATCAATTACCTTCGTCCTGATCTCAAACGTGGAAACTTCTCCGATGAAGAAGATGAAATCATCATCAAACTCCATAGCTTGCTCGGCAACAAGTAAATATATTCTTCTTTTATGAAAGTTTTTTTTCAACTTTCAAAGAAAACAGAGTGAAGAAAGAAACAGAGAAAACAGAGTAAAGAAAGCAACAGAGTCATCGTTTTTTTGTTTTTGCTAATTTGAATGTTTTTTTTTTCAGATGGTCATTGATCGCTGGAAGATTACCAGGAAGAACAGATAACGAAATCAAAAATTATTGGAACACTCATATCAAAAGGAAGCTTCTCAGCCATGGAATCGACCCACAAACTCATCGTCCGGTTAAAGATTCCGTTGCCGTTGCTAAAACGGCGTCCGTTATTGTTCCTCCCCAAAACGACGCCGTCATATCGAAGACGGAGAATTCTTCCGATAACGGCGCGTCCACAAGCGGCACGACGACGGACGAGGAGCTTCGGCAGAACGGTGATTGTTATTACAGTGATAACTCAGGAGACATGGAGCTGAATCTGGACTTAACTCTCGGGTCCGGGTCGACTTCTTGGGTCGGGTCAGGTCATGTGGTGGTTGGTGGGTCATCGGCTGATTCAAAACCGTGGCGGGATACGGCGATGGCGGCGCGTTTGTCACTGTTGTAAGAATTTGCCGAAACGGCAAAATCCCAAAAATGGGATCATTTCTTTTTTTTTCTTCGTTGTGTGTGGGTCCTTTTGATAAACAATTATAGAAACTATTTTAATTGGAAACTTTTTCACTGGGGCAGTAATAAAATTTCCATTCATTAATCATTCCTTATAACTACTAACTAGAGTTTGACCCGCGCCTTGCACGGGATGATATTTTCTCAATTTGATTTTATTAAAAGATGTCTATTTACATACAATTTTAGGAACATAGAGTGTTAGACAATTAAAAAAATGTCAATTTATATTAGACGAAATTTTGAGTGATGCATATTAGCCTGGTTTGATTTTTGTCATCGTTTAGTGGTAATCTAACATTTGTTTTTTTTTTACCTACATGTATTAAATTTTAATACATTTAAAATAATTTTATAATCAAAATATAAAATGCATATATATTTTATGTTTTTATCTTAAATAACTAAAATAAGTTTCTCCCTTTCCGAACCCACATATATATTAAATTTTAATACATTTAAAATAATTTTATATTTTGATAAATATAAAATGGCATATATATTTTATGTTTTTATCAATTTTAAATAACTAAAATAATTTAACTTATATGATAAGTTATTAGAATTTATTACGTTTAAAATTTTGATCAAACCAAAATATTAAAAAATACGATTTAATTATTTAATTCAATTAAAGAATCAAATTAAATCGAATAAAATAAATTTTAAAGATTTCCAAACATGGTAAATTTTTCTTTCCTATTTGTGATTATGGTTGATCATTATTTGGATCCTATTTTATAATAGATTTTTGAACTATTATCCCAAAATATAATCATGTGGGACATTTAACATTTTTAGAGATTTGCTTCATTTTTAAAAATTCAAACCATAGCATATGTAAAAAAAACTAATTTTCTTTTTTTAAATATTTTGATGTGATGATATAATTTATTCTTGAAAGTAAAGCTAAACAAAAATGATAGATGAATAAATTAATTTTTAAACAATTAATATAATACAATTGAATAAAACTTTCCATATTTTACTGATTGATTGACTAATAAATAAATTTTCGTCATTACCAAATAAGGAAACTGAAAGAAAATAATTTTCATTAATAATTATTTTTCTGACTAAATTAATCATATATATTTCATTCTCTAACCAAATATGAATGCATAACATGTAATTAGTCTAGTAATGTTTGTCTTAATTAAAACTAACCTTGAAAGTGAACCTGGTGTTGACACATCAGCATGGCATTTCTGTTAATAACACATGAGACAAAGGTTTATTTTATAGTGTTTTCTCTTTTAATATATTAGAGATCGGTAAAACGGTAAATGTTATGAAAATGGAATGATTGGATTTTCAAAAGAAAAAATGTTTTAAAATGTGTAAGCATAATCTAGAAGGAGTGAAATGTGAACAGAGTTTTGGACTCTTTTGGATGAATCGTTATCCATTTTTACAAGTAGATATAGATGGATATTGTTTATCGCAGATGGCTTCTAGAAACTTGAATATGATTATGATGGGGACCATATGGTATAGTAGTACTGTAGTAGCAAGTAAGTTACAACAAATATCTCGTTCACTATGCTAATATTTTTCATAGCTTTTTGGCTTTTGCCCTTAGTTTATTTCAACAACTTCCGTATTCCAAATAAGTTGTAATTTTAAATAATATATTTTTATTTACCATTTTTTATGGCAAATTGTATTGCCTACTTTAGCGTAAATCTTTTCTGTTGTCTATTACTTCACTAAAAATACTTTTTGATTTTCTTATAACTAATACTTTTATATTTACTACAAACAAACTAATGTAGCATTTAGAATTATAGCAAACATTGCATTTACAATGAATATTTTTATCCGCACTACAAAAATTACAATGAACATAATTTGTATTCACGGTAAACAGTCTTTGATACTATAAAACTACAAACACGTCTATCTACTATATGATACAACAAGATTGTTGAATCCGAGATAGCACTCGTTAAGACGGGCTATCTAGATGTGAGTTTAGGAAACTGGAACGCTTAATTCGACTCTTAGATTATCAAGAAGATTACAAGAAGCAATCTCGCTAACAAGCCTAGCGAGATTATGATGGTGAACAAGAGGATAGAGTAAAAGCTAATGTGAAAGCCTAGTGATTCTAGATGATTTCGGATCCCTTCCCCAATGGGGGGGTCTTCAATATATATGGTTGATAAGTCGGCCGAATGATGAATATTCTCCTTCAGGCGAGATGGAAAACTTCCTCTTTTGCGATATGGAAAATCCCTCTTGTTTTTGGATCTTTCTCCATTCTTTAAGTCGGCATGAAGATTTATTTACATTTCTCCATGGATTGTGCCTTTCTCTTCAAGTCTTGCCTTTTTCTTGAAGATGTTAGGCCTAAAATCGGATTGGGCTTTGTACTTTACTAATGATGACGGGCTCAGGGAAATGTGCTAATTTCTCCTCTAACAATAAGTCCCCCCGCCAGCTCGGCAGGTCAAATGTAGTTTGATCTCGGCGAGCTTCATGAATAGAGGACGAGCTTGAGAATCATTAGTAAAATACATCACTTCAATCGGATCTTAGTGCCTAGGTGCATGCTGAATGTAGATTCGTGCCGCCTCATTAAAACCTTGGTACGGAAAAACCCAATTGGGACAAAAACCATAAAAAGGAAAAAGAGTACGTTGACGTCATCTAATTCATAATATGTGCTTGAATGATTTTTGCCGCGACCAAAAATGCTTTCTTGGTTCGAATGTGTGACGGGTTCGGTTTTCTGTGACTGGGCGATTTTGCCACGTCACTGCCCAGGGACCTGTTTGCAATTGCGTGGGCTGATAATTCGATTAAATCGCGCGGAGGCCCAAGCCCATTAGTGCTTTTCCATTGAGCGGGAAAGAAATGAATAAAAAATTCATAAGGGCAGTTGTGTCCCTTGGAAGTCGCGCGATCTCTATTAAGAGACCGTTCGAATTTCCTTTATTCATTTTTGCTTCTTTTCTTCTTCTCACTCAACCGTCCCGACGAATCAAAGGTAACTTCCGCAACCGACTTCAAATCTTGCCTCGATTGATTTCTCGAATCGATTCTGCGGGATTTAGGACTAGGGAATTACGAATTGCTCGGATCTAGTTAGGTTGCGCTCCGATTTCGTCTTCTCATCCGCCGATTCGGGTTTTAGGGTTTTCGATTCGTCAAATATTTCGTCTCGGTCGTCGAGTTTTTCCGATTCTTCATTCAATTGAGATGAATCCAAAGACAGAAAGGGAAAGGGCATCGCCATGGATGACGGCGATGAGACGATTGCTTCGATTGCGCGTCGACGCGATCCTCCGCTCGTCCGGAGAGGCTTCTTGGTGGAGCCATCCAAGCGGATGCGGCGGAGCGTCGCAGGAAGACGGCGGTGGATGAAGCGACGGCCGCTGCTGAGGCCGAGAAGGTGGTCGAGATGGCTGAGATGGAGGAAGCGGCGAGAGTCGCCGCCGAAGCCGAGCGTCGGGAAGAGAGAGAGACAGAGGGAGGGGGAAGAGCATGATTCCTGGCGACGAAACCGACTCTGATGAAGACGAAGAGCGGGGCCGTCAGCCAAGCGAGACTCGAGGGCATCCCGGATGTAATCAAGATGCCGAGTCGTACGCCGCCTACGGGCCTAATCCACGATGGGAGGTCGTGGATGACGGAGGAGATCCTTCGAGACCTCATAGCGGAGGCCTGAGTTCCCTGACTCCGTGGAGTTTCGTATCCCTGGCCATCTCGAAAGGCCCTACGACGCTCCGGCTGGGTGGATGTGCGTTTACGAGTGTATGTTCACCGAATTTGGGATGAACTTCCCTCTGTCTCCTCTATTTTTGCAATTTGCGGCTGATCGTGGCGTTCCTACGAGTCAACTGACCCACGGCGTGGTTCGCCACATCGTTTTTACCGAGGCCCTGGCTAGAGCCGCCGGAGTTGTATTCGACCGTCTCTTATTTCGAGCACGTTACTGATCTCCGGGCTTCGTCGCGAGAGGGAAACTTCAAGCGGTTTCATACCACGATGAAGTATGATATTGTTTTCGGGGATTACCGAAACAAGATTCATTGGTGGAAGAAATATTTCTTCTTTGTGAAGATAAACCGAGCCTCAGTCGGGAAGATCAAAGCTGATCAGATTAGGACAGAATGGGTTAAATCACCGGGTAGAATTCTTGATTAGAATTGCTATCTATGCTCCTGAGTTTGCGTTTTCTGATGTTGTTTGTTGTCTTCGCAGGACCGTCCAGGCGAGCGAGACCGAACGGCGAACTCAAGGAGAAGTTAGGCTGCTGAAGGAGCTTCAGCCATCGATTGTGGCCTGAGGTAGTGGCGGCGCTTGAGAAGAAGCAAGAGAGGAAAGATAAGAGGGAGGGAAAAACAAATCTGCCATCCCTGCGACTCCGATATCTAGTAAGCGTTTCGTTTCTCTTTTTTTTTACTTGGTTCTCTCTTCGGGTATCTTAACGTTTTGCTTTGTTTTGTAGCAGCGAAGCCATCCCGTTCTAAGAAGAAATCGATGGGTCTTAGGAAGAGAGCGGCCGTGCCTATTGACGACGTTGTCGTTGCTTCCGAGCCGGCGCCAAAAAGAAAAGGGTCGAGTCCCCCAGACTGAGGGATTCTCCTCCTTCTCCCCTTCGGAGCTCTTCCATTGCGTCGCGTACGAGGTAAGTCGCCTATTGATGGATCTTCAGGAGATAGGAATTCCGATGTTAATCGTGGACGTTCTTTGCAGGGCTTCGACGAGGAAAGCCTCGACTTCTGTTCCTGAGGGCGTTCCGGAGCAAGTGATCGAGCTTGACTCTCCTCCTTCCTCGGACCATGACGAGTCTTCCCATCACGATGAGAGTGCTTCTCATCACGATGATGGTTTGAGGACTCCGGCGCGTGGTGGTTCGCCTTCTAAGGGGGATGAGTTCCTCACCCCTGGTGGGGCGTTCCCTCCTCTGACCGGCGTGATCGTGGTGGTTTCGAAGGAGGGGAATCATCTCGGCGTCCAGGTGAGAATGATGAGGCGGTGTCTCGTCACTCGGAGGCGGGTGGTTTTGCTCCTGGCTCGAACCTCGGTGCTGAGGGTGGCGCCGGAATTCCAAAGGATGGTCCTGAGGGCTATAATCCTCACGCGTTCAAGACGTGGTGGAATGGCGGGAGTCCTCTTATGGAGGACCAGGATGCTTGCGGAGGGGCGACTTGGATGTCTAAAGTTCATCCCGGCTTGGGGATTCCGCGTGAGGAGCTCACCTTTAGGACCGATTTCGACGAAGCTGCTCAACATCATATTATGTCTGGCGGGAAGTTCACCGCGTTGGTCCAGAAGTACGAGACGGCGCTTCGGGCAGCTAAGGACGAAGCCTTTGTGTTGCGGCGGAGCAGGAGATGGCCAAGATGTCGATACGATGGTGGCTGATTTGCAGCAGGATAAACTGGTGCTTGAGTCGAAGGTCGCGGCGCTGAACAGGGAGATAGTGAAGACTCTCGGACTCCAGGAGGTAGCAGACAAGCTGAGGGCTCAAGTGAGTGATCTGGAGGAGAAGGCGCGTCGGGATGCAGAGGCTTCTGCTGCTGAGATGGAGCGTCTCCGACGGTCTCGTCGAGAATCGGTCGAGGCGGCTGTGACTCAGGTCTTCGACTCGGTGAATGACTGGTATGCTCCTCGCCTCCATCGCTTGTCGGAGTTCGTCGCGCAGCGGGACATGGTTGAAGCCGCTGTGGGGAGGAGGCAAGTCGACGAAGCTCTCCTCAACTTTCGTGAAGAAGATTCGGGGAGTGGATCTGAACTTCGACGCGATGGAGGAGAAGCTCGCGGCTAAGCTGGCGAAGAGCATCGCGGATGGGGATGCGATTGACGAAGGTTGTTATCGATGATGATGACTTCGCTCCGCCTAACAGGTGAGATTTTTGCTTCTTTTTTTGTTATGTCGTGCTTTGCGTAACGTTATGTTTGCTTATGTGTTTGCTTGCTTTTGTAGCCTTAAACGGCTGGTGCTGCCGGGATCTCCTTCTCGTCGAGATGGTGGTGGTGCGGATCCGGGTGCGGGACCCTCTACTTCTGGGGCCAAGTCTGCTTAGGCCCCATTTTCATTTGTTTTAAGACTTTTCTGGCTGCGGCCTTTTTGTTGTAATAACATTGCCTGGGAAGGTTTTTATCCGTATGCTTTAGGATTTGTGCTTTTTATGCTAGATACTAAAGATGTTTTAAGTATGATTTTTTTTTTGCTTGCGTGCTTGCGTGGTGATGCGGTCACGGCTTTTAGACATAATTGATTAGTTCGCAGCGCAACGAAAGTAATCCGGCTTTTGGTTATGTCTTTTAATAAAGGACGATGGTGTCGTCAACCGCATAAAATGAATTAAGTACTTGGTCGTCACCGAGTAGGAAATTCGATTATCGGGATGACTCGTTACCTTTAAGTGTATCACGACATGGTGCGCGTGATGGTGCTAGTGCGTCATGACTGGACGCGATGCTTTCGGGTTTCGTCATGACTTCTCATTCGAGACACCGACCGGCGCGTATTAGGTCTGTGTGCTTAGGATGTTAAACCTACTTTCAGCGACGAGCTCTAGAAACTCGATTTATGCTTCCGACTTCAAAGCTTCGTGCGGGTGACGAGGTAGCGGTTTTTCGCTCGTCCGACGAACTGAGAGCCGTGCGAGGTGCGTGCTCTCGGCTTAATGAATGGGTGATCAGTCCATGTTTTTAGGGTGCAAAGTGCAAGTGCTTATTGAGTTTGCCTCAATAACTTGGTTTGACGTCAAACGGGTGCGTGCTGGGTGTCGACAAGTTTCAGCTTATGCCAGAATGAGGCGCGCTTGTCGAGAGAAAAGGTTTTAATAAAATTAAAATTTTATTAAGTATTATAGCTGCGCCCTTGTGAGAAAGGCTGCCTACGTACCCGTGCCGGGATCAAGCCATTCGTAGTTCGTTACAAATGTTCACAGCCGCGGTGCTTCGCGTCTAGTCATGGAACTTGCGCAGATCCGACGAGCTCCAGAGGCGATCGGACGTGGTGCCGAGGTTGTCTTCTAGCTGATAGATACCTGGTTTGACGACTTTCGCGATGCGGAATGGTCCTTCCCAGTCGGAACCGAATTTGCCGAGACCATAGATCGTATCATCATCGGTTTTGCAAAAGACGAGGTCGTCTAATGCGAAACGGAGGTGTTGCTTTAGGAAAGCGGCTGCTAGATCGTCGAAGCTGTCGATGGAGTCGGCACAGAGGTTGCTGAACCATGTTAGGGCGTCGCCGCGCAAGTGTTCGGCGAGGGCTTGGCAGAAGTGCGCGCTTTGTTCTTCCGGCGATGTGTATTTCTGTCTTCTCATGGCCGTCATGAAGGATGTGATCCACTGCTTGGGATCTTCTCGGCCGTCGTAGAAGTTTAGGTGTAGTGAAGCGCGCTTCTTCAGTGGTACCTCGGATAGGCGGCTTGTCAGGGGAGTTCTTCGAATATCGGCAATGATCTCGAATATCTCCTGATCGGAGAACGAGCATTGCGGGGGTGCATGGCGATCAGTCTTCGCGCGATTCTCCATGTTTCTCCTGGTCTCGTCATCGTAGACAGGGGCGTCGTCTCGGCGAGGGAGAGATTCGTGATGGCACCTTGGTGCTTTATGCGTGGACTTCTCCGGGCGAGAGGATGATGACTTTCTCTTGTTTCTTAGCCGGAACCGAGGATCTTCGGGGTCGAACCGTAGCTGCGGGATGTCTTGCTCGAGGCGGATGTAATTCTCAGCGCGAAGGAAGGCGTCCTTCAAAGTTGGGGAGGGGCGGATGCGGATATCTTCCCAGAATCCGGATTCGTATCGAAGTCCGTTTCCGAGGGCTTGGACGAGTACCGGTTCCGCGATTGGGGGTGCTCCCGGAATGTCCCTGAGGTCGAGCAGCGCACTCTTGAATCTGTTCAGGTAGCTTCGTAGCGGTTCGTCCTCGAGTTGCTCCATCTCGAATAGATCGGAGAGATCCTTGTGTTTAGTGCTAAAGCTGGACCTTAAGTCGGATTTCCAGGCGGGCTCGGAGTTCCTTTGCCGATGGATCGGGGGATCTGCATTCTGCGTCGCGGCGGCTCGTTTTATTGCGTTGGACTCGTTGGTCTCGTCGTCTGATACTGGCTCGGTTATCATACAGGATGACCTATCCGGGACGCTATCCGGCATGTCGCCAGTGTCGCGAGCTGCTTGTTTGAACCTTTCCATAAAGCTGCGCAATGGTTCGCCTTGGGTTTGCGTTGTGGTGAACATGTTCCGAGTGATTCGGGTCATGTGCATGGAGTAATGCTTCAGAAAAGCATTGGTTAGGTCGTCGAAGTTATCGATCGACTCGGCGGGGAGGTTAGAGAACCAGGTCAAGGCATCTTTCGCCATGTGCTCGACGAATACTTGACAGTAGTTGGCCTCCCTTTCATCGTAAGATTTGTATTTCTCCCTCCTCATGGCGAGGTTGAACGCGGTTAGCCACTTCTTGGGGTCTTCTTCGCCGGTGTAAGAGTCGATTTTGAGTCGAACTCTTTCGTGTAGCTCAATCTGGCGGAGCCTGCGGGTGAGCGGGCTTCTTCGGGTATCGGCGAGTGCTTTCGTCAATTCCGGAGCTGAGCTGGTGGCGCGATGAACTTTCGAATCGACCTCGTCGAATTGCGCGGGACGTGGTGTTGTTCCGTCAGCGGGATCTGACGGATCTTCATCGTCTTCTCGCGCTAGGGCTTCCACCTGTTCCTGAGTCTTTTTCTGCTGTGCTCGCATTGACTCGAAACCGTCGGCGAGCGGCTTGACGAGATTCTCCATGAGTTTGAGGATCTTCTCGCTCGAGGAGGATTTCTTCGAGCTGCGGGGTTTGTCGCTCGAGGAAGATTTTCTCGAGCGGCGTGGTGCGGACGGAGGGGGGCTCTCGTCCTTTCTTGGCGGAGGGGATCGTTGCGGCGAAAGATCTTCGCGGCGGGACAGATCTTCGCGGCGAGACAGATCTCTGTGGTGAGAAGATGGTTCCTTGTAGGGAGCAGGCTTGTCCCTGCCTTCAGCGGGTAGCGACTTGTCTATCGTGCGTGGTAGACTGTCGCTCAGTTTTCTTCTGAGGGAGACGGGCTCCCGGTGGGAGTGTTTTCTTTCGAGTTTACCATCGTTGCTAGTTCGTGAAAATCTAGATATCTTCGAGATGAATAGCGAGAAGCGTTTCCAGCCCCACGGTGGGCGCCAATTGTTGAATCCGAGATAGCACTCGTTAAGACGGGCTATCTTAGATGTGAGTTTAGGAAACTGGAACGCTTAATTCGACTCTTAGATTATCAAGAAGTTACAAGAGAGCAATCTCGCTAACAAGCCTAGCGAGATTATGATGTGAACAAGAGGATAGAGTAAAAGCTAATGTGAAAGCCTAGTGATTCTAGATGATTTCGGATCCTTTCCCCAATGGGGGGTCTTCAATATATATGGTTGATAAGTCGGCCGAATGATGAATATTCTCCTTCAGGCGAGATGGAAAACTTCCTCTTTTGCGATATGGAAAATCCCTCTTGTTTTTGGATCTTTCTCCATTCTTTAAGTCGGCATGAAGATTTATTTACATTTCTGCCTCTCTTCAAGTCTTGCCTTTTTCTTGAAGATTAGGCCTAAAATCGGATTGGGCTTTGTACTTTACTAATGATGACGGGCTCAGGGAAATGTGCTAATTTCTCCTCTAACACAGATTTTGTTTCTTTTATAAACGAAGTGACTACTATGGGCACAAATAAAACATTGCTGAGACAGGAAAAGGAATTTGAAGAAGCAGATGATTGATTGGGAGAAATGAAAATAAATAAATAATTTAAGACAAAAAAGATAAAGGAGAATAAGATAAGGGAGGAGACATGTGACATGTTTTAGGAAGGTAGGTGGCCGAATCTATCATTATAACCATATTGTACCAAAATAATTGACTTTACCTAATTTTCTTTAACAAGATATGTAATACCATACTATAACTTTGTATTATATCTGAAACATATATAGAAATATCCGAGTCTTGACGAAAGCAAACTATGAAACTATCAACCCATAGAAATGTTTGTCTCTAGACAATGTTTGGTCTGTCTCTGGACAATGTTTGGTCGACATCATATATATAAAAAGATGGAGAAAAAGACAAGAATTGATTACAAATATCATACGCATATATATTAAAAGTAATCAGAAAGAAAACGAATTAAAATGTAAAACAAAAGGAAGAATCATGTGCGTAAGAAGAGGAAGAAGGTATGGGAATGTGGGATTTAGGTGAGATCCAGCCAAACATGACTCCCTCCTATCCTGGAAATTAAAAAAGAAGTTGTCACTCTCTATTTCATAATAATTTAAAATTCTCTAACGAGTTTAAGTTACAGGAACCATATCATTAATATATGAAATGATTACCTTTTTACATCTTCTAGATAGACTAGATTATAAGCGTTATTCAACCAACCATAATCTACAATATTCTTATCAAGCAATTGGCTGAGTTTTTATCTAAAACAAATTCCCTGTAATTTATGAGACTCAAAGAATAATTAGATAGGTGATTCGTTATATCAGATTTTTTTAGTTTCATGGATTTGATTGGTGATACAATTTATGAAATTTTTTAGCTGTTAAAAATATGTTTAAAATGGTATATTATTTCTTATGATAAATGTTGCCAATATATCAAAAAGTATGTATAACGTCGTTACTCATAAACGAGGGGTGGATGGAAGATGGGAGCGGTACGTACGTATAGCCCACATGTGGGTAACTAATATGAGCTGCCTCATAATTTTTCAATTATTAAAATGTAAAATCACATGCGTTTTGTTATTTTAGATTTGTTTGGGTCTCATTTTAGACTCACATGCATGCATGACGTGCACACTTTCATGAATGTAAACATACACACACATGATTTTTTTTCTGTTAAAATCATACACACATGATTTCTAATAATGTTCATTTCGTTTAGTTTCTATCTTGTAACTTGTAAGAATATTATTGAAGCTAGAAGAAATGGCTTAATTAGACCTTCAATTTTTGTAATCTTTCTGTGATAAATATTTTTTGTTCTTTTTTTCATTTTTTTGTAAACTTTGATCGAACAACCAGAGTTTTGTAATCTGAAACACCAGTTTCGATAACCAACAAAGAGCCCTTCTTGGTTTTAATTTTGGACATAAAGTTGATAAACAAAAGTAAAAAATATTTTTTTTTTAAAAAGAGGATTAGGACAAAATTATGAGTGCTATATGTGTACGACGTGTAAAGTTAAACAAGACAAAATGGCTTAAGATACAGACTTACAGTTGCAGTTATGTAACTGTGAAGCAAAGTATCAAACAAGGAAAAGAGGATAAGAACTAGAAGGGATTCTTATCGCCGCAATTTTTCAAAAACATGTTTCGTTCAGACCTCATATGGTCAAATACTCAAATCCACACACAAAAATATATTCAAAGATTTTAAAACTTTTACCGTCAATTTTCCACTTTTAGGTTTAGAACAAAAAATATTCCAATTTTCTAAATAAATAAACTTTTCAAATAGGCTAAATATACAGTCTCAGTAAACACGCTATTTTTCTTTTGGATTATGCATGTGCTATAAATCACTCTTGAATTATGTTAGTCTTAATTAAAAGTAGCATATGAATCCTGACCAGCTGGTCTATAGAGTCGATGAAAACATCGGTGATGTAGCAGATTCCGCAATCAAAGACATCAAGAGTTTCGCAGGCTCGATTGTCATCAGTAAGGATTCGATCTTTCCCTACGACAGAGGATTTGCCAAATGTGGGACAAATGTGAAATGTGGTTATATAAAAGGCTAAAATCAAGCGGGCTTCATGTTTACGTAGAGACATTCAGCAACGGATTTGTTAGTCAACCCTATGACTTTTATTGGATCCAATGGTGGAGATAGACTCCTTTGTCCAAGGTATTGAGATTGATAGCATCATCACTGACTTCCCAGCGACCACTACAAGATACATAACTAAATCTTCCTTAATATATTTTAGAAAATATTAAACATATAAACTCATGATGAGAACAAATACAAAGAAAATAGTAGTAGGTAGAAGTAGTAGTTTTATTAACTTTACTGCTTAGGTAAAGTCATTTGAATCATAAACTATCAAAAACAATTTATTTAGTAGCAAACCATAACATCTTTTTGTTTCCCTTCTATTTTACTTATTATTTGCTTATTTGCAAATGTTTTGCTTCTTATATATTAGCCAAAAATCTACTTATGACGGCGGATTATGAGTTTTGTATTTTAATTTTGTCAAGAGACGGATCAGGATTCTAATAAGTTAGTAGATCATCGTAATGATAACATGAAACAGAAATAGTTATTGAAGACCGATCTAAAAAGTTCAACCCAACTAAGTTTCTAATAGTCTACAAGTGTATGAAAATGGGGATGCCAAAATATTTAGTTTCACTAAATGAGTTTCTTATACAGCCAGCCACGAATTAGTTGGTCTACATGATTTTCACTCGCAATTGGACATTTAATTTATTGACTAAGTATTTTGTCATGAAGCATACATCCACCTAAAATGACTCTGTTTTTCATCCCTTCTAATGGTTTTTAATCACTTTTCTCTTCATCATGATTTGCCTTGTTGCTTGATTAATTGTAGCATTTGTTTACTATACTGATTATTGCATGTGTTTAATCACTTTTCTTTTCTCTTTTGGTCACATCACCATAATCCCTTTTACCGAAAATCAACCATAATCACAGTAAGATACTTGTTAATGAAGAAAGGTAACGACCGAGTACTTGAGATGAATTTGATCTTTGACCAAAAATAAAAATTGAGATAAATTTCATAAATTAAACCAGAAAATAATCTCTGATAAAAGATGAAGACCTACATATTATCATGAAGCATACTTCAACCTAAAATGCCTTAAACTTGGCGCACTCAATTACAAGTAAAACTTAAAACTGCCTTGTAGTGTTTTTACCTACGCAACAATCACGAAGACAAACTCAAACGAAACCTAAATAATGACTCTAATCTACCGAAACTAAACCGCTGCCTTAGTCACGGTAGGTGTTTTCGTCTCCTGCCGCCAATCTTCTTGTTGACTTGTCGTTGGTAATGGAACATATAGTTTCTGTGTAACAAAAGGATGATTCAAGAGCTCAGCCGCGGTTGCCCTTAACGGATAGTTAAATCGCTCAGCCTCGGCCCTGTGTACTGGATGCCGTGCATGGCACCGAATCAAAAAATCTTTAGCCTCCGGAGAGATAGGTTGGAACAAGTTCCACTCGTAGTAATCTTCATATATCTCCAGGTAGGGTTTAGCTCCAAACATCTCATAAACAACACACCCTAGAGAATATATGTCAAGAGCTGGATCGATGATTCTGTTTGGCCCATTACACTCCGGTGACATGTATTGAGGCGTTCCACAAAGATGGGAAGGATCCGTATTAGGTTCCTTGGATAAACCGAAATCAGCAAGCTTGACATCCCACGGCTCTCCAAGAGTGGTGGAAGGGAAGAGGAGAACGTTTTCTGGCTTAAGGTCGCAGTGAACGTAACCTTGTGAGTGAAGAGCGTCAAGTCCTTGTAGTATCATACGAACAAGCCTTTGGATCATATACTCAGGTAGTGATTTCCCACGGAAACTAGAGATTGTCTTGCGTAGAGTGCCCTCGGATGCATACTCCATGTAGATGTAGCAGTCTTGAGGTTCGGTTTTTCCTAAGTGAAGATTAGGGCTTGAGGCTTGGACGATGCGAGGATGGTTATGGAAACGAAGCATGATCCTTAGCTCTTTCTCGAGATGCTCCTTGAGTTGCATTGGAGATGTTTTTCTGGCGTAAAATCGACAACTGTCGGGATGCACCTTGAGAGAGACGGAACCGTAGGTTCCTCGGCCAAGAACACGGACGTCCTTCAATGAACTTTCGTCGACGTACAAAGGTTCTGTCATGATGATCTCTCTTTTCTCTCAGATCAGGGGCTTATTTTGTTTTCGTTAATTGATTTCGTTTGCAGAGGTGTTGCTCTCTATTTATATTGACCACTCTCACTCCTGTTTCGTTTGTGATTGGGACAGACAACATATATTTCCTTTTTGTTTTGATTTTCACGTAAATTAACACGGTTTTCCCCACGTAAATTAACCATACTGCATGTTTATCAACTTTGGGTCATTTATTGATTTTATTTATTATATTGCCCTAATTTTTTGTATTATTTAAAATAAAAAATATTTAGAAGTAAAAGTGTTTTAACTTTTAATTCATTTTATGTAAGTAGCTAGATAATTTAATACTAGAAAAAGGAAGAAATTAAAAAAAGGTATATTACTCTCGACTTTATCTTCAAGATAATCGAAAACAAAATCTTAACCTTATCATTGTTTTTTTTTAATATTGAAATCATTGGTTTATTTTACACCTTTTCGCTTTTCGTACCTCTGAATTGCCTATTATTATTTTTCAGTTGCAACAGTAAGTTTTTATACTGTTGAATTTTAATTTAGTTGTACATCAAAAGTGAAAACAAAAATGCTCCTTGATCTTGAGCTTGAGGAATCAGTTGCAGTTGTAACTGCGTTTGTCATGACGTTGTTGTCATCATCGCAGAAGAAGAATAAGTGTATCTAGATCTTGTTGTTGATGATGTGTGACCGTGACGTCACCATGTTCTCCCTCTAGCGTCATTCATCTTTATCTCGAAAGCAAAACGGGATAAACCAGGTTTTTTATATTTTTCAGGTTGTTTGATAAGATATCAAGATGTTGTTCTCCACCTGAAGGCACCTAGTCAACACACTCAAGTTTGAATTTCTTCTCGGTCTTGGCTCGGGTCCAAGTCCAATACAAGGCCAAATCATCCAAGACCTCCTTATGAAGGGAATATTGAGCCGGAGCCAATCAGTCTTCACTGGCTTTTCCTTTTACTTTATATATTGTTGTACACGAGACTCTGTTTGTAAGTTATTGTAAGTTATTGTAAGAACACAATTTCTACAATGGGCGACTGATTAATGTAAAGTAAAATATATAAACAAATTAATATATTGATAATATTAAAATCATATAATAAATAAGAATTAAGGAAATAAAATCGGATTTGCAGAGTCGAGATATTATCTCTTTCCTTAGTTCTGTAAAAACCCCGTAGTGTGACGGTTGTATGGCGTTCCGAATCCCAGGATAAAACTGCACACTTCTTATGATTGTATCACTCAATACATAAGCTTGCGAACCATGTTTTCTGTAATGTATTCTTATAAGGAAAAACAAAATAAAAGAAAGATACAAGAGATTGTTGTTTGATCATATGTTGGTGTGTGTCATTCTCTAGAATGAGAAGACAAATGCTTCTTTATATAGCAATTTTGTCACACGTAAAAAACATAAAGAGGAGACCAAATCTTTAATGAAAATATCTTTCACTTAAAGATAAGAATCAGTTTTGCATGTTACATAAGTCAAACATTGACCATTTCTCATTGTAATATACGTAGCATTTACGTGACATGAGTTACAAACTCAAACTCAATGCAAAATTGAATTTCTTTTCTTAATTATCAATATTCTATTGATATTAATACATTGACTAGAAGAGATATTTTATTGACTAAATCAATAATATAATTCACATAAAAATTAACCAAAAGATTAATTTTATGAATATCTCTTCACTTAATGTATCCAAGGTTTTAAACCTTATCATAAATTCATCACTTTATATACAAGAGGATTTCACCTCAAACTTTTAATGTGAGATATTTTACAAATGTTACATTTTATGCTATACAAGCAACCTACTTGGACCCCCATTTCTCATTCAAACCAATTTCATTTTTGACATATAATATATCATCAAAAATGAGTTCCAACAATCCCCCACATGAATAGAAATGACTCTAGACACTGGACGACTCAACTCTAGACTTGACTCTCTAGACAAGACTCGAAAAGACTCAAAAAACGACTTTTGAGAATACACGCGAAAAATCCACTATATATGAGTTGGTAGCAATTTTTCAGCCTTGAACCAAATCATTGTTATAAACTATCGGATTTACTCGACCAAGAGGTGAACATGATGTCTTGAACCTCTCGGGCTTTGATGTAAACCGAGACAATAGCTATAACACAGCTTCATTCTCTCACAGAATCAGGTTCTCTATTGTGTTCATTTTGGCCGTGAACTTTGCCTGGATAATCATGAGTGAACTTGGAGAATATAGCCTTTTATTCTCCTAGAAACGGCCCCATTTCACACTCACAAGGTGATTCGCCATTAACTTTGTTTAAAGGAGTATCCTGCATTACTCCATGTATATTTCAAAGTTATGGACCCAAATCATTAAAAGCAAAAGCTTATCCTATACACCATACAGGTAGCACTGTTCATCATCCTAGGAACTGGGTAGAGACATAAGTCTCCCAGTGCTAGTTGATTCAGTTTGACTTAGTTTTCCCCTTGAACCTATTTCATGGGATCTCCAATCAGTTAGGTAGGGTTACCATCAAACCTCTTCTTAAGTAATAGGCTAAACCCATTCCTCTTGATGATTTTACAATTTAATCTCATGACACACCTTTAATTGGATCCTAGGTTGTCATTCAAGTAGACATAATCTAGTAAGATTATTCCATTTGAGATTAATTGTTTAACAATTTAGGCAGTGGCATTGCAACTTTTTGTCATACACCCCCACATTTTTAGGTATTTGTACAAATGTACTTTAACCTTTCAAAGCTCATATGACATTTTGTCAATACTTTTGTGGTAAACAACTTTTTACCCTCACATTTCTTGAGATAACTCCAAAATCATGCACTTTGCATTTTCACATTTTTAGACTTAAAGTTAAAAAATGGTCATAAAGATTAACATCTTTTCTTGCCAAATTTTTAAACTTATTTGTCTAACTTTAGTTCTAGGTTTACAACACTAGACACTAATATGGCAATCTGATAAATATCAGAATTTGGTACAATCACAAGTGGAAGACCATTACCAAAATAAATTTGGTATGTCAACTCACTAAATTTGTTACCAATAACACATCCACCATTAGTCAAAATCATAAATAATAGATCACTCCCAACATGGGGTATCAACTCATTTGATTTTTCACTTTTAGAAACATTTTTATAAATGTTCTAACTTTTGGTAAAAATAAATTTTCCTTCTTCTTTGATTCAGTTTGCATAAAAGCCAAACCTAAATCATCATATCAAAAATATATCAGATATATAATAAGCAATTTAAACACTTCTGAAAATTGTAACAAATAGTTAAATTAAAATTCCAGAATTAATAAATTCAGAATTGTTTGGGCAAAATTTAACCGGTTCGCAAGTACAATAAACGGAATGACGCAGGAGAAGATATCTTATTAATCAATTGAATATCGAGCTACAACAAGTCAATATCAAAGATTAAACTAAGAGAATCTCGTCTGTCGCTCGTCGTAGATCGTAGTTCGTCGTATCTAGGTTGTTCGTCGCTTGCTCGTCGAGAGGCGAAGAACAAGTAGCTATTAGGGTTTTTGTGTGTTTTTCTGAATGTCCCCTTGTCCTTGTTATGGGACCTCTTATTTATAGGTGCTTGTCGATCCTAATCCTTGTTGAGTTGGGCTTTGACGTCGGTCGTAATATTCCATTTCCTACGTCGGTCGTCATTCCTAATTTCCTTTTAATTAGATATGCACGTCGGTTCTCTGCACAACTCTAATAGATTTAGGAAATTGTACAAACCATCGGTCATTGCTAAACCATTAATTAACATCGTTGGTCGCTGCCTCGTCATGTCGATGCTAAGGCCTTTTAGACACTAAGAAGTAAGATCGACCGGTGGTCATCATGGTCGTCAGTCGATCATATCTCCAGCTTGTAATAGAGTTTAAGGAGCGACCGGCTAGTGAATTTATTTCACCCAACAACTTGCCCCCTACTCTTCAATTTCTTGTTTAGAATTTGTAGAGTAATACTTCATTTTCATATCGTCGGTCGGTCGCTTGCTCATGTCACTTGTGTGACTGTTGTTCGTTTACTAACGTCGATGTACAAAAAGCATATATGTCTAATGGCATTGTCCCTTTTAACATATTATCTGTGCACATACTAATGGAGCAACATAACATATAATTTAAATAAAAGATCCCAAAGACATACCTTTTTTTCTTCGTTCGTCGATGGCTTATGCGAGTGACAAACTCTTCTTTTAAATCATGTGGAAATAACTAAGCAAAATAAGAGGGACGTACTTATTTTAATATCCATGTGGGATTGATTAAGAATGGAGATGGACAAGCTTCTTTCTCCAATGACCAATGACAAAGTTTTATTCTTGAAGCATGTACGTCCTTCCCTTTTTTTCCATGTGGGTCCCAAAGAAGTTGTACTTGACCACTCATGTAGCTTTATTAAAATTGAGGAACGACGTACATTAATTATGTAGTTGTGTTGTTTGTTTATGTAGAGAGTGACCAGCGACAAACATGTTTAGTCGTGCCTCTTCCTTTTTTCTCTTAATCGTCGAGCTTCATTCTCTCCAATCTTAAGTAAAACGTATTTTTTCAAATCGTCAGGCGTTGCTCGTCAATGCTGTTTCGGACCTTGCTCCCTTTCTAATGTAGATGTTATTCATTTTTTGTATGTCGCTCATTTATCTTCTTTTGTCGTTCCCTCTCTTTTCAATTGGAGTTACTGTTCCTTTTCCTCTTATGTCGTTAATAGATGTTTATCTATTAAGATATTATAGTAGAATTAACGGAGCTCCTTTTTACTAGTAGTTGGTCTTGATCTCATAAGATCTAATAAAAACTAGCAAGGACAAACACGTTTTATGTGTTCGTCTTGGTTGATCACTTGGATTGACTACATAAGTCCTTACCTATTGATGAGCGTCGATGAATTCAGAACTTGCTTTCTCAACGGATAAGCAGCTATTAGGCTGTGAGGGCTATACCCCTTAGTTTATTGTCATATTTTCACGAGGACGTACCTCTTGATTTTGTAGATGTTGTCACAGATTAAGGACGTACCTCTTCATTTGTTAGCTAATGATTTATGATCATAACATTTGGAGGTCGTGCCCCTTTGTTAATCAAAGAGTGATGTGACATCATAGTCTATTGGAGGTCGTACCTCTAACTTATTTGTTAGCGACTGTCGTCGCTGTCTATTGAGTACGTACCTCTTTATTATATCATGACTTATCATGGTGAGGTCGTACCTCTTAATTTATTTAGTAGCGACAGTCGTCACTGTATATTGAGGACATGTCTCTCTATCTATTTGCTTATGACTTGTTGTCATAGCATGTGGAGGTCGTACCTCTAAATCAATTATTAGCGACTGTCATCGCTCTTACTATATATTGAGTACATGACTCTTTATGACTTGTCGTCATAACATGTGGAGGTCGTACCTCTAAATTAGTTATCAGCGACTGTCGTCGATGTCGATATACATTGAGTACATGACTCTTATCTTCCTAGTGACCATGGTCAATTTGCTCATGAGCATTGCCTTTAGTTTTTTTTTTTGAAGAAACGTCGATCGTCGTTGCTGTTCTATCATGAGGAGGCAATGCCTTTTTTTTTTTTTTACTGTCGTTTGTCATAAGCAGTGCAATGACTGTCGCTCGTCACTAGTTGTGGATACAACGTCGATATTAAAGCGAGTGACGAACATAATCTGAGAATTCTTAAATACTCATATGTAGAAAAACCTTTTATTAAGAAGTTCGTCCGTAGACATGCGCGAAGTAAAGAAAAACAATTGAAAGCAGAGACATCTCGTGGATCGTCTATGACTATGACAATAACGAAATAAATAAAACCAAAACACTGAAAGCTAAACTAACCTAGAAGAGGTAGGTTTCGAGGTTCGTTTCATCAAGATCTTTTTCCGTCAGTGGATCTCACAGAGTTGTTCCACCTCTGCTTCTTTGGTATGTGGAATCGACGATTGGATCTCTAGTTGATATAGCTCATGACCTTTCCCTTTTAGGGTAGTTTGGTAGCATGAACGTGCATGCTCTTGTTCTCCCTTGATCTCTTTGACTCCCCATGGAGTAGGAAATTTTATGGTTTGATGGAGTGTCGATGGCACTGCCCCCATGTCATGAATCCAGGGACGTCCCATAATTGCGTTGTACGCAGTAGCACAATCTAGTATCAGAAACTTTGTCTGTCGGTTAATTCCTCCTGCATACACAGGCAGCGTCACTTCTCCTATGGTCTGCTTTACTTCACCGCTAAATCCTACCAGTGGTGTGGATTTTCGCGTCAGTGCATTCTCATCCAGCCCTAATCCTTTGTAAGCATCCATGAAGAGAATGTTGGTCGAACTCCCATTATCAACGAGTGTCCTTTTCATCAGACTATTAGCAATTGTCAAAGATATGACTAATGCATCATGATGTGGAGCTAGGACACACTTATCTTCATCTGAAGCAAAGCTAATCGTGCACTTCGACAGTCGCTCGCATATAGCTTTGACATCTCCATGATGAGTTCTAGCTATTCTAGTACTCTTTTTAGCAGCAGAATGAGTAATTCCACTAACCTCTGATCCTCCCGATATCACGTTGATGATTCGATCATGCTCCGGAGATTGAGCAGGAGATGGTTTTCTTTGCAACTCGTCATTGCTTCTGTCGTCGATGCGACTCCTAGCCCTGTCGGACAAGTGTTCTCTCAAGTGACCTTTTTTTAGTAGCTCGTTTACTTCCATTCTCAACGTGATGCAATCTTCTGTTCTATGACCATGGTCAGAGTGAAAGTCGCACCACTTTGATGTGTCTCTTCGTTCCCCTGGTGCTTTCATCTTTTGAGGCCATCTTACTCCAGATATATGATTAAGAACATTGACTAGTTCTGCAGGAGATATTGCGAGGTTACTCATGTCTGGCCATGTGGATGATGAGCGTTGGTCGCTCTCAATTTGGTTGAGTGGTCGATGGTCGCTTCTGCTGTCGCTTCTCTTGCTAGTGCTTTCACTGCGTGGTCTCTGGTACGGTCTGTCATCTCGAGAGGGACGCTCGTTCCTAATCAGATCGTGGGGAAAGTAGGTGTCGATATGCAGGGTCTTCCTCCCACCTTATTTGAGCCCATGCTCTAGATAGCACATCTTCCATCGTTCTGCACTGGTACTTCGTCAGTTCCTTGTACAAATCACTGTCTGGGAGCAATCCTCTTTTGAATGCAGAGATGGCAGTGGACGTGACACATGCCGGAATGGATACTTTCTCTTTGTTGAAGCGACCTACGTAATCGCGCAACGGTTCTCCTCTCTTCTGTATCACTTCATAGAGATCGTCGGCTGTCCTTTCTATGTTCCTGCTGCTCGCGAATTGCTCAACAAAGCGGTCTGTCAATGACGCGAACGAGTCGATTGACGCGTTCGGTAGGTTCGTAAACCACTGAAGAGCTGGTCCCGTGAGGCTAGATCCAAATCCTTTACACATACTAGCTTCGCGATATTCTTTTGCTATTGCCGTTGTGAACATGCGTTGCTTGTACTGGGCTATATGATTATCAGGGTCGGTCGTCCCGTCGTACATCTTCATTGAAGGGACGATGAACTTCTTTGGCATCTCAACCAAAGCGATGGCATCCGTGAAGGGAGTGTCTGCATAGCAATTAGGAGCACTTTTGGTGATTGGAGGAGCTACTCCTGGAAGTCGCGCGAGCAAGAGCTCCATAGCCTCCAATCGCTTTGAGAACATAGTATGCGAGTCTTCAGATTGATGTTCCATCGTTGGTGCAAGGGGTGGAACCAATGTTTGGTTACCTTGCGCAGCGTCGGTAGCTCCTGTTCCTAGGGCTGCTCCTGTTGCACCCGTAAGTGGTGGAGTGTCGAACGATTGCATAGGAGGGAACCGGTCTCGATATCTATTGCGAGCCTGAGCCAATGACGCGTTTTCTGCTCGTAGGGTTGCGTTCTCCGCCTGGATTTGCGCAAGTCGTTCTTCGTTCTGCTTCATCTGAGCTGTGAGAGCCTCCAGCTGAGCAACGGTGACGGTCGGTGTTTCGGTCGGTGCGGTATCATCTCCCGCCGCCATGTCTCACGCAGTTAAAATTGCCCCTCCTTCTAGCGCCAAACTGTTTGGGCAAAATTTAACCGGTTCGCAAGTACAATAAACGGAATGACGCAGGAGAAGATATCTTATTAATCAATTGAATATCGAGCTACAACAAGTCAATATCAAAGATTAAACTAAGAGAATCTCGTCTGTCGCTCGTCGTAGATCGTAGTTCGTCGTATCTAGGTTGTTCGTCGCTTGCTCGTCGAGAGGCGAAGAACAAGTAGCTATTAGGGTTTTTGTGTGTTTTTCTGAATGTCCCCTTGTCCTTGTTATGGGACCTCTTATTTATAGGTGCTTGTCGATCCTAATCCTTGTTGAGTTGGGCTTTGACGTCGTCGTAATATTCCATTTCCTACGTCGGTCGTCATTCCTAATTTCCTTTTAATTAGATATGCACGTCGGTCTCTGCACAACTCTAATAGATTTAGGAAATTGTACAAACCATCGGTCATTGCTAAACCATTAATTAACATCGTTGGTCGCTGCCTCGTCATGTCGATGCTAAGGCCTTTTAGACACTAAGAAGTAAGATCGACCGTGGTCATCATGGTCGTCAGTCGATCATATCTCCAGCTTGTAATAGAGTTTAAGGAGCGACCGGCTAGTGAATTTATTTCACCCAACAAGAATTAACACATTTAATTAAATGCATAAACAGCAATTCAAACAATGATAATAAATTGCATCAACAGTTCTAAAACATAAATAGCATAAGCGTATTAAACAATACTAGCAATAACAATGTTCAAATCTTTGCAACTTTAATAACCTGGTCAAACTTAAATCAGAAACTAAACAAACATTTAACTCTCTCTTTGACCAAGGTAAATAATAGAGATAAATGCAATGATATAAGCATTATAAAGAATGCTGCAACGTAAAGCAAATAAATTGGCAATTGAATAATTAAATGCTTTTCTCAACCAATACACAAAATGCAGCAAATAACTTTCGTTAGCCACAAAGAAATTTGTGTTCTTAAAAGTTATAACACAAATAATTGCTCCAAAATTCCTGCAAAATAATCAGAACAAATAATCAGAAAATTAATCCAATTTTCAGAACTTAGTTCTTCTTTTATGAACACATTTCTTCCATGAAAACCTGTTAATATCAATCTCAACACATATAAGAATTATTAGTGCATAGAAAAATGATTTTTCAGATATAAACACTGAAAAATACTGAAAATTATGCAAAAATAATTAAAATATATTGCAGAAAAATAGAAGAAATAACCATATTTTCTTTCTTTCATGACCTGCAAAATAATCAGAATAATTTCTGAAACACTAGAAAATTAATTCCATATAATCTGAAAATTAATCAGAATAATTTCTGAAAATCCAGAAAATTAATTCCATAAAATTCTGATAAAATTCTGATAACCTGCAAAAAATAATTAGATAAAATTTGCAGAAAATTGGAAAATTAATCCAATTTAATCCAGAATTTCTTGTTCCTTTTTACATAACAAAAACACTTCACAAAAATCAGTTTTCGTTAGTGCAATAAGCAAAAACGAAAATTTACAGAATTAAGATTGTAAGAACACAATTTCTACAATGGACTACTGATTAATGTAAAGTAAAATATATAAACAAATTAATATATTGACAATATTAAAATCATATAATAAACAAGAATTAAGGAAATAAAACCGGATTTGCAGAGTCGAGATACTATCTCTTTCCTTAATTTTGTAAAAGCCCCGTAGTGTGACGGTTGCATGGCGTTCCGAATCCGAGGATAAAACTGTACACTTTTTATGATTGCATCACTCAATACATAAGCTTGCGAACCATGTTTTCTATGATGTATTCTCATAAGGAAAAACAAAATAAAAGAAGAGATATAAGAGATTGTTGTTTGATCATATATTGGTGTGTCATTCTCTAGAATGAGAAGACAAATGCTTCTTTATATAGCAATTTTGTCACACGTAAAAAACATAAAGAGGAGACCAAATCTTTAATGATCTTTCACTTAAAGATAAGAATCAGTTTTGCATGTTACATAAGTCAAACATTGACCATTTCTCATTGTAATATACGTAGCATTTACGTGACATGAGTTACAAACTCAAACTCAATGCAAAACTGAATTTCTTTTCTTAATTATCAATATTCTATTGATATTAATACATTGACTAGAAGAGATATTTTATTGACTAAATCAATAATATAATTCACATAAAAATTAACCAAAAGATTAATTTTATGAATATCTTCTTCACTTAATGTATTCAAGGTTTTAAACCTTATCATAAATTCTCCACTTTATATACAAGAGGATTTCATCTCAAACTTCCAATGTGGGACATTTTACAAATGTTACATTTTATGCTATACAAGCAACCCACTTGGACCCCTATTTCTCATTCAAACCAATTTCATTTTTGACATATATCATCAAAAATGAGTTCCAACAATTATAACACCCTACCACGAAACCGTGAACCAAATGAAGAAATTGGCGTCTCCATAGTGATTAGCTTCTCCTTTTTTTTAGTTATATGTAAAATGAATTAAAAAAAGAAAACATTTGTTACAAGAAATGCATCTTGTTTAAGTTTTTAATATTTTTGAAACTTTTCTAAAGCTAATCACAACAAAAATGAAAATAGGGCTCTTCAAAGATTTTCAAACCAAGTTTGCATGCATCGCCCATATGTCGTATAGATGTTAATCTATTCCAAACTTGTTTGTCTAATCAATTACAATGAATTAACAAACAAAAAAAACTCAAACTGATTAAAACTTCTTTTGTTTACTAGTCTTTGTATTCACCACTATTCAATGAATTAAGCTAATTCCACATCTGCAATTAAAAATTTTAGATGGTGACTAAATCTATATCCAAATCATGTTTATGTAAACAAAAACTGAAGCTAAACAAAAGAAAGGTCTTTCCATTCCTTAATTTACATAACTAATAAGACTTGGATACTCTTAAGCCTTGACACGTGGCACTCATTTTTTTTTTTTTTTCGCCTACCACCAAAACGACGTCGTTTTGCGTTTTTTTTTTTTTTCCGTCTTACATATATCACCTCACTAAAACGAAGTCGTTTTAGGCTAATCTTTTTGTACCAAAGATTTTAATTAATTATCACCTCCCTTAAAAGTAACGTTGATATACACTGAATCGTTGACAAATCAAAAACATGCACTGAATGTTTTCCGCAGATCGAAAGGATCAGTGAAATTTGGCGATGCATTGATTTTTGTAAATCCCAGAAGCGAAATTTTGGAACATAGTATCCATTCATTCATCGAAAAGGTATTAACTTTTTTCTTCGAATCCGTAGGTATCTGTTGGAAAAATTTGTCCTTTTTTGGATTAGGGATAAGATTTCGATTTGTGGGCTCTCTTCAATTCCACGATCGCCAATGACGTGTTCTTTCCCCCTGAGTGTTTAACTTTCGATTGAATCGAGATTTGATTAAAGTTTCTACCTTTTCGGTGCAAATGCAGGTCTTTGTCGCTGTTTGTTGTTAATTTCCACAATCCGATTCCAATCAAATCGATTCCGTGCTGGTAAATTACAAACCTTTCTCTGCTTTTGAATCGATTATCTTCTTCTGCAATGTATATGGAACCGAATCGAATCGTGGTTTTGCTTGTTAGGTTGCAGCAATTTAAGGAGATCTGAGAGATTGTTGTGTGTTCGATATGAGAAATCGATTTAGAGGGTTTAAGAGACAATGACTGGAATGTCATTTGGACTTCGTTACCGAGAGTTATGGCTCATAGCACTAACCAAAGCCTTGAGCTTTTGAGTCTGAATCATCTTCTTCATCTTAGTCTTCATCTTCTTCCTCTTCCACAATGCTCACTTCAAACTCTAAAGAGAAGGAAAGGTCTCTCTCCTTGTTATGTTGCTGGTACTTAGGTTGAAGACGAGTCGCAATGCTGCTCCTTCTCAGCCTTGCATTTGTAGTCTTTGTCTTGGGTTCCTACACTATCAACAAAGGTAGTAATCTCAAGCTTGTGAATGTCTTAAATTCCTTCAGTACTGTGATCTGTTGGTAATACCTGCATTGTGATATAGCAGAGAGCAATAGTCCAAACATTCATCAGAGTATTGAGACGATGGAGTTTGGAAGCAACGAAACACCCATAAGTAGAGAATTGACTTCTTTCTACACTGGAACCTCTAATAACGATCATATCGGAGATTCTTTTCTGTGGAATGGCGTTAGAGAAAGTGATGTAGATCCTCCTCCATCCCTCACTTCTCACCATCCATGCGATAGTTTTTCGTTTCGTCCTCCTCCTCCACCTGGACTCAGAAGACCTGGACCAAGACGTAAGCGCTCTTTCTCTGATTCAACTCCATCTTGACGACTGTGCTTATCAGTATGGAAGCAGTTTTCCTCTTGGTAAACAAACTTCCAAATCTACCAAGTCCTCTTCTTCTCTTTCTTTCAATCATTCTTTGAATCTTTGTCTTTGAATTCAATGTATTGCAAATGGAGACGACCAGAAAGAGAAGCAAGACGAAAGCTTCTTGGTATCGCTGGGGAATCTTGCTTTCAATGCTTGGGTCTTTGTTATGGAGATGGTCCGGCAAAGGCAGTCAAACACCAGCTATCAGAAGTACAATGGAGCAACAAAGCAGTCTGCTGCTCGTTTAGAGATGAAGATGAAGGGGTTGATGAAGGGGCATATGATGGAAAACACGTTGAAGAGTATTTATAAACAATTTTAGAATCCTGACACAAAGGATGATTTTTTTTTTTTAAGTTTTCTTAGTTGTAGATTTATAAAAGATGTTGTATTTTGTTGTGGTTGTAGTTGAAACATTTTCTTTGTAAGATTATTTATATATGGAGTTCATAAATTTGTTACCATTTTAAATTTGCTTTGTTTACTACTTAAATCATTATACTATAACATTTAAACAAATTATTACTAAGTTTTGATTTGATATGAATTTAGGAATTACACTTTTGTAAAATTAAACTCGCGCATTACGCAGGTATTCTCCTAGTCTTGAATAAAAACGGACAAACATCTCAAATGAACATTATAATACAAGAAAAAACCAAATAAAAAACCTTTAAAGAAAATCAGCAAGTCCATGATGCAGATCTCTTGATAACAGGTTTCATCTGCTTGTCTTCTTCAAGAGAGATCATTCCAATATGTGAAGGATCCTCAAGCATCATCTTCGCAACCAAGTACCCTGCGATTGACCAAGTCTGAAACTTTCTCGCTTGCTTCCCAACGTACCTCCCTTGCTTACCATCATAGTACTCCGGCCAGCAATCTCTGTGAAGCCGCGACTCGATCAGATCAATCGCACGTCTCGCAATCTGCGGCCGACCTGTCTTGATGCACGCCGCCGTCAACATCCACAGCAACACTACACACAAACACACAAAATATAAGCATTATCAAAACCGAAACTGAAACTGAAACCGAAACCGAACCAAGAAGTAACCAAACCTGGCCAAGAACCGCCGTTGTGGTAGCTCCACCGAGTGTTCTTAGGATCACAACCGGTAACAATCCTCCACTCGTGGCTCTCGATGCAAGGGTAACAAATCTTGAGCGGCATCTCACCAACAAGCTCCTCCCAACGGTGCTCAAGTAGGTCCATAATCGCCATCGACTGATCCGGAGTCGCTAGAGAAGACAGTATAGCAACACAGTTCCCCAAAGAAAACCACCGGAAGTCCATACGAGCCGGGCTAACATTTCCGACGAAGTAACCTCCCCGGAGCGGCATGAAGTCGAAAACCCAGTCCGGTATCGAGTCAGGCATCACGTTAAACTTGTTCACCGCCGTGTGTGAGTACTCCTCCGTCTTGTACCTTGAAACAAAAAAAAGTTTGATCCTTTTCAAGTCGTCACATCAAAAACCATATATTATACAAACTTGGACCAATCATATATTATATACATTACCTGTAGATATCGTTGAGTTGCTGAAAGTCAAGCCAGAAGTAATTACGCATATGGAAACTCAGAGCGTGAAGTCTCTTCACAATCCTCTCTATGAACTCTCTACCTTCCTCATCAGGTTTCAGCATGGACAAGGCACATCTCAACGCCATGAAAAACAGAGCTTGGATCTCAATCGGATATCCATAAACACCCTACAGAAAAAAAACAAATCAAGAATCAAGAATCATGCAAGATTTGTTTTTTTCTTGTCAAGAATCAAGAATCGTGCAAGATTATGTTTTGTACTTGTGTCAAGAATCAAGAATCATGCAAGATTTTTTTTTTTCTTGTGTCAAGAATAAAGAATCATGCAAGATTATGTTTTTTAGTTTCTTACCATTCTTCTATCAACCATAGAACAACCATCAGCGCAGAGAAGCGTAGGGAAAGTATCGAATCCTTCGGATAAACAGAGCGAGAGGATAAGTCTGATTCCTTTCTGACACTCCGGTGTCTCGGAGAGAGTTAGATCTCCGGTGGATTTGGTGTAAGCACGGAGGAGTATAATCCACCAAAACCCTGAGTCCACCGGTGCTACTCGCCCTATAGCGCTTTCCCCGAAATCAGCAACGATTGTGTCGGTTTTGCGGACGGGGTCATGAAGCACCTTGAAGCTCGCCGGCATGACGCCTTCACCGAGCTTGAAACGGTCGACGCGTTTCTCCCAACCTTGAAGCTGAAGTGTCTTGAGCAAGAAGTTCTTCACTATGTCAGGCTCTCCGTTCATCAGAAACGCCAATGCACTCGGTACAAAGTCCCGTACAAACACCTATACGAACAAAAAATAACAATTGAAAGACAAGTTTTGAGATATTCAACTTTAATTTATTGAATACCAAGAAAAAATACAAATAATGCTAATCAACTTGACAAATAAGGATTTTTTCTAAATCATACCTAAGATCATTTTAATTTTTTTCAAGTGTAAAGTTTAAGTCTTTAACAAACGTAACTAAAAGTGCATATATGTAAAGAATAAAACTTTATAAATGGAGGATCAAAAATGTACAATAAGCTTCTAACTAGAGAATATTGCTCATTACACAGAACTGAAAATCATTTCTTTCCAAAAAAAGTACAAACTTTGTATTAATTGTGTTCAATACAATGACTTCTGTGTTGGTTATCAAAATTTAGATTTTTCTAAAGGCTCATAAGTCACAGCTAAGATCATTTTAACTATTACGTTAAGTCTTCAATAATTGTAACTAAAAGTGCATATATATGAAGCTTAAAACTTAAAAAATGGAGGGTTCAATACGTAAAATAAGCTTCTTAACTAAGAGAAATTTGCTCATTTCATAGAACTATTTAACAATTCTCAGTCTCATTTCTTTGCAAATATTGCAGAAACTTTGTATCAGTGAGTTTTGTGTTGGTTATTACCTGATCGTAGTTCAAGACTTCCTCAGAGGCATGATCATAAGCAGCAATGGTACCAACAGGTTGACCACGAAAGAACACCATTGACCTTCTCAAGGCTTCCCAAGCTTCCGCAACCATTGGATGCGGCTCGAACGAGTTCCGAACATAAGAGAGAGGCGTGTCGACTATCGACCTGCTTCCAGGTGAATGCGCCATGTCAAGATCATGCCTTGAGTATCCAGTCGACAGCTCGCTCATCGACCTCTCGTCAAACGATCTCTTCCTCTCGATCTTTAGCCTCGGTTTGTCCAGAGCTCGAGTCAGATCGAAATCGTCCATCTCTGATAAAGAACAGTGTGACCCCACAGCTCTCAGTCCCAGTTGTTCTTTAGGAACTTCCATTTCTTTGGTTTTAACGGACAGAGCAAGATCTATGGTTTAGCGATTAGAATCCGTTAATTAACATTAAACAAGTTTAGTTTAGTTTGATAACAGCAATTGATTATGAATTTTGAAGCTGTCTTTTATTTTATTTATTTATTTGTCTTCTGTAAACACTTATCTAAACAAAATTCAAAATCAAAGATTAACAGAAAAAGACAAATCTAATGATAAAGAGTTTCAGATAATAATAATCCAAAAACAGTGAAAAATTAACGGATTTATTTCATCATAATTCCAAATTAATTGGAAAAATTATGTTTAAGAAAAATGTAACAGACAGATCAAATCAAGATCCATGAGAAAAATGCTAATCAGAGTCAACTTCAGGTCAAAGTTACAGAGAGCAGACAACGACGAAACCAGATCTAACAAAACCAGATCCATAATTGGTATTTTTTTTAACATAAGAGAGTGAGAGAGAGAAGGAATCCAAACCTGAGGAGACGATGATAATTTGAACCGGCGGCGGTGAAAACGATCGCCGGCGATATCGCCGGAGAGAGGGAGATAAGGAGACAAGTGAGTGGAAAAAGGGAAAAAAGAGTCATGAAGAGTGAGGCTATTATTTTATAATAGAGAGAGAGAGGGAGAGAGAGAGAAGAGGAGAAGAAAACAAAAACGGGACTTGTTGAAGAGACCAAAACAAAACAAAACGGGTCTGGTAAGAAAAATGTCGACGAAAGAGACGGAGTTTACCGGTTATAGCCGGTTGTTTTTGCTGGTCTACGTGGATGAAACGGCAGCGTTTTGATTTCTCGTTGTTTGATTTTTTTTGGGTTGGCTAAATGGACTTTTCGCTTGGGTTACTTGATTTATCGGTTTCCCGTCCCCACTTTTTCCTTTAATTATTATTGTTTTCTTTTTACGCATAAACCAATAGTGTTGGACTGGTAACTTTGTTAGTCGGTTTGGTAGACAACATAATAAACATATACCACATTAAAATAATGTTTAATGCAATAAAATATGTATTATATAACAAAAAAAAAAGTTCATATTTCTGCTGTGAAATATTTAATTGAAACTCATAAACTCGTAATCTGACTACATAATCTCTAGTGAAGTTGATCGCTAAGTACTATTGCGATTATGGGTGCACTTGCAGCGTAATTTCTAGGGTTATACGTATGAAAGTATCAACAAGTCAGCTTACTTTTAGTCCTACTCGCTCTTGTTGTGTTGTTGGTGAGGGGTTTTTTTATAAACTAACTGTCTAGGTGATCATTTACTAGTTGGTTTATTCAGTTAGACGTGTATTATCTCTTGGAAGCGAAAGAAGAAAACTATGATGGTACGCTCTTTAGCTGAAACAGAGTAGTATCTCTCCATGGTTGACATGGTTAGTGAGATATTAGGGCTTAAAACACTTATGACTACCCCTTTCGTTGACTGTTTGGCGTCTATTCTCTTCATTGTGAAGGAAAGTCTTTTTTGATGAAATGACTTTTCTTCAAGTTAGGTGTTTGTGATCTAATACATTCCAATTCAAGTGGTATTGCTACGCTTATATATTATCTTGTAAGTAGTTACTTTCTTACTGTATGTTTCGGAATTATTTGATTTAATAGGAGGTCTATAATTAGGTTAACATTTTGTAGTTAATCAATAACAAACCCGTTCAATACTCTCAAAGTATAAGCAAAATCCATTTATAGACCTGCTAAGTTTTTCTTCTTCTTTTTGCAACAATTATAGTTTCTTTATTTTTCTTTTCAATCGTTCCTCATTTGAATGCCACTTCTTTATTTTTGTTTTTGTTTAAATGGATTATTATTACCGAGTATGCAATTAAAGAGGGAATTACGTATATATATAGAAGGATTGTTGGTGAAAAATGTCTCAGTATATTCATAATTCATCCATTATTTTATTTTGGTTTTTGGTTTTATGCGTGGTATAAAATACGTTGTTAAGTTTCACGTAGTGTTAGCAACAAAACCACGTTAATTTAATAATATTCAACATATGATAAACAAAGATCTTACAGTCATAGCTGAATTAAGTTAGAAAATATAGTACATTACAAGATTTCAATTATTGATTATAACACATAGATATGAGACATATATAACCATTTTAACACTGACACGACGTACACGTAGTAGTGGGCTCATGTGGTTAATGTCACTTGTCATGAAACATGACGAGGCTTCGGAAAGTAGAGACATCACATGGCAAGACGATCTTGTTCCTGTACGCCTCCGCGTAACCGAACTCCTCCGCCGCCTTTTCTAGAAGCATCTGGAAAGAAGGGCTCTTCAGAAACCTTGTAGGGACAACGAATCTCTCCAAGTTCTTCTTCGCACCAACGTAAACCACGAAATGCCCTTTCGGTGTTCTTGGGGATGATGTCCTGATCTCTCCAGTATCTTCTTCTTCTTGATGGAAATGCATGTCATTGACCTTGTTAGGCATAGTTATATGTCTTCTTATATAATGTCTTATTTGTGCTGGGTGTGAGTCATAGGACATTAACGGATTTTGTGGGGATCTTTGTGTTTCCACTTCGCTTTGGAAGTGGCTACTTATATATACTTGTACATACTCTCTACTTTTTTTTCCTGTAAGGCTTGGGGATGCGTGCCATCTGATACATTCCCGTAATTTTCATATATGTACTTTCAATTGGTAACAAAATACCGTAATTATTGTTATACAAACAGAATAGCGTTAAGAAATGATAATCCAATTGAAAGTAGTAATAATTAGAGATGACGGTAGGGTTAAAATTGATGACGGTACTTGTCTTTGTCGTCATTTTATTATCGTCACACTAAATAATTAAACATGAGACTGTAAATGTTGTACCACAACGACATAATATTAACAATCAAAATTATAATCAAGATCTACGTACTGTAGATATTTTAAGTGTTTTTTTAAGGATAAGGTAAGGGCGTATGCATACAAATACAAGTACAAATGGGTATAAATTCTTTAATTTGTTGTAAGGATAAGGAACTTAAGATAACATCTATATATGTCAATATGTGTAATGAGTTTGAATATAATATTGTATAGCTAGCTAGGTAGCTAGGTCCTAACGATGATTGTGGGCGGAATAATGGACTTAGTGAGAGTCGATGACTTTAATTTTTCTAACCAATCCCAAAGGACTTACGTATGCATGAGAGAGAGAGAGAGAGAGAGAGAGAGAGAGAGAGAGAGAGAGAGAGTGTGTGGTTAATATAAAATGGGTCATGGATTGAGCTACGATTCAGTGACTGATAAAAAGCACATGGTTTCTGCTACTGCTCATAGAAGATGATCATTCTCTCCATACGTCTTCATTCTCTTAATTTTTATTATCCGATAAGGTTTTTTACATTTCTTCATATACGCCAAAAAAGTGACCGTTTGAGGCAAAAACAAAAAAAGAGTTATCGTTATTTTGAGGCTTTTCCATATTAGTCATGGTTTGATACCATCAAAATATACAAATCGAGATATGTTGTATAACCAACATTTGATATTGCTTTACTGCCTTCTAAATCTTCATTGCTATCAAAATATGCATAAAAATCATGTAACCATACACTGTAACTGAATCAAAATACTTATTTTAGGAATTTCATGTCTAAGTCGAACTTGACCGGGCTAAACCCAAAAACTCCTCTAGCCCGAAATGCCCGGTTTTGGTGTTTATATTTCTAGGTCCAACCCCGATAATTTTCAAAGATATGCAGAACCGCTTTAATCCTAATTGACATGTCTATTACATTATCATGTATATTGTAGTATCCATATGAAGTTAGATAAATTTGAATTTTTTTAACTACGCACAGGGTAATAATAATTTCTTTACCAAGTGGATATAGTTCAACTGGTAAAAAGATCCTCGGCAAAGCTTAGAGGTCACAGGATCGAGTGCCGCTTGGGACGGAACTAATATTACATTATGTGGTTTCGAGCCTATGAGGATGTACGGCTTCGAGCTCAAAACCTCTTAGTAATTCAAAAAAAAAAATAATAATAATCTCTTTAAACAAAAAAGAACAGTCACATTCAGATTGGAAATTATATTGAAAAATCAATTAAATAAATTATAATATTTAACTATATGTATATGTGTGGAAATATGGATCTAGTAGGCATGAAGAGCGTTATGGACGGTATAGATCTGAGATGACGCGACCATACTGTTTTGGATTATAAAAATTTATTCCTACGTCCTTCCCTTCCGTTTTTGTACGGAGTCTGTTATACATACCGTTTCAATTTTGATATGATATGAATTTTGTTATTGTAATGACCTTTCTTTCATGGGCCAAATTTTGTTATGGTTGATTGTGGCCGAGTTACACCGAAAGGGTAAGTCAGACGTAGCCGAGGTTAAAAGGAAAAGAAACACATAAACATAACAACTTAACATTTTACCCCCAAAAAAAACACACACATAACATAACAAAATTATAACATACAAGATTAGGATCCACATACGTAAGTGATTTTGATCAATTCTTTTTTCTAAGAGGAGATTTTTGTTACAATGATCAGTGCTTTTTTTTATATACTTTTGATGCCCCGAAGGTGTTAACGCTACAATGCCTGTTAACATGTTTTGTTCATCTCTATTTCTAGCTAACCAAGTCCGGCGGCATATCCTCCCTAATAGACCGAGAATCACCAAGAATCGCTTACTACTTGAAAATGTGCTCTTGGCGACTAAGCTTGGCAAGAACTATCATAAGAGTTCTAGTCTCGTTCCACCATGATGACATCGATTAATTGTAGTATTAAGGGATCCAATCTACATTGACTCAAGTGCACAAAAATATTTTTAATAAATCTGAGGTAAGTCGAGATAAAATGAATATGCGCAAGGGAATCTCAAACTTCATACATTACTTCAAAATTTCAGCTGGCTTTTTAACTAAAAATATGTATTCCTTCCGTTTTTTTAAGTTAAATTTTATAGACATTATTTGTTGTTTTACAAAGATAAATTTTCTAGTTTTTTGCTGCACTTTTTCAGTTTTCAAGAAACATTAATTTTGGTTGTTGGATTTTGATTAGTTTAAATTTATAGAAAGTTATTTTATTGCAAAAATCTACATTAGTAATTGAAAATCAATTTTTTTTCTTAATATGTGTGAAAAACTAGAAATTCATCTTAAAAAAATACGGAGGGAGTATATGCTAATGTTCAAAACAAATAACAAATATGCTTATAAATATACTGAAACACCTATTAAATAGATTAACGATTAATATTGAACCCGTGCAATAGCATAGGTATTATCCTAGTAGATAATTATATATGTTAACTTTCAAATAGTGAGATATCTACAAAGATTCAATCTTCACATATACAATATAATTCCTTTTTTTGAGTGGGGTGTTCTAATATTTAATAGGTCGTTTTTTCTCTAAAATCCTAGTCGTGTTTAGTTAACCCTAAATTCATTCCTCTCCACAGCATCAACCACAAGCTTGCCATATCATGATCTCCCGAAAAACACAACGAACGAAGAAAAAACAGAAGAAGTCGACGATTTCTCAGCCACAGTCGTCGTTTTCTTCACTTCCAGACGAAATCACAAGAACATTCTTGCACGTGTCTCGAGATGTAACTATCCATCGCTCTCTCTAGTCTCAAAGCAATTCCGGTCTCTCTTATCATGTCTGCAAATCTATAAGACCCGATCTCAAATCGGATCCCAAGAAACATGTTTCTATGTCTGCTTAAAGCTTCGGAATCAACCATATCCGAGCTGGTTTAGTCTTTGGGCGAAACCTAATCAAACCCTAGCCAAACAAGAAGAGACGACGACAGGGTTTAACAAGGATTCAAGTGGATATTCGGTTGTTCCGACACCTTTCCCATCTTCCCAATCTTCCCACATAACAAATCAGTCCACCAGAGTTATTGGTTCTGAAATCTACATAATCGGTGGACCCTCCAAGGAACCGTTGTCCTCAGTTAGAATCCTTGACTGTCGGAGTCATACTTGGCGTGACGCTCCTAGCATGACCGTGGCTCGGGAAGATGCGTGTACGATCTTCTGCGATGATAAAATATATGTGAAACATTGGTGAGTTTGAAGGAAAGCTTTATTTAGCGATTTATGACAAGGAGTATGCTTACGACCCCAAAGATGGTAAGTGGAAATTTGTAACACAATCGAGTCTCCATTTCGACTCCTTAGCGGTTTGGTGTGACATAGATAATATTATAATATACGGTTGCACTTGGGATGGAGTTTTAATGTGGTCTGAGTCTAAATCTGACACTGAGGTTAGAGAATGGAGAGAGATTCAAGGTTTGGGAGAACTGCTTGAGGACAGTACAAGTGGTTTCACAACTGCGAGTGAGTTTGTCATGGATAACTATGGTGGGAAACTTTTAGTTATGTGGAAATCGTCTTTTGACAAGCAGGAAAACAAGATTTGGTATGCGAAGATTTCATTAGAATCAAGATGCAACAATGGACGTGAGATTTGGGGTAAGGTTGAGTGTGTCGATGAGCTTACGTTTCCGGTCCAGTCATATGAATCATTTCGTTGTGTGACAGTTTCGGTTTGATGACTCTTAGAGATTTTGTATGAGTCGCGTTCCTTTTGCTTTGAACATGCTGTTTTTGTTCTTTGTGTCAAGCCTCTAAATATTAGTTTTTTTGGTCTTTCATTTGAAGAACACTGTATACAAAAGTTTACATTTTATACTGTGCATGTGCTTTATTAAATTAAATCCAGAGAAGATGAAAATGTTTTTTTAGAGCCTAGTAAATTAAAACCAGAAGATTAAGGTTCGTTCTCATTTGATATATATCTAAACATGTAAAGACTTTAAAAGACCCAAAAGCACTAAAAGACTCTCTATATATATAATAATTTTATCAAGATAAAGAATCCGGAAAAACTAGGGCCGACACCTATTTCCCCACCACGAAGTTTCAGTCGTACTATATGCGGCCCAATGTATGACCTCGTATCATTTCCCCATCATTGGAAACTTAAACATCTATTTCCCCATCGATATAACTTCAACTGCGCATTTCTCCACAGGTCCAATCGTGTTGGTTAAATGTCTCTACCAACGAACTCAAACCGTCAAACCCGTTGTAAACCGAATTAAAACCCGATTCTTCGCAAAACCGGACCCAGATAACCCGACCCGTGACTCATTTATAACCCAGAAATCGCGTCCCAACGGTCGATTTATCCCAAATCGAAAGAACCCTAAAATCTGAAATCGGAATCCAATTCTCCAATCGATCTTTCTGAGCCGAGATTTCGCAAATTGACGGTCAGTCTACGAACATCTTCACTTTCATTAGCCTCCTTATTGTTCTAAACTATAGATTTTCGATTTTGGTACTCTTTTTCTCATATTCTCACTATCGATTTCTTCTTCTTTTTCTTTTGAAATTCTTCTGTGTTTTTGTTGATTGAAAGACATGAGTAACCTGTCTGGAGCTTCGACTGGATCTTCAAGTGCTCGTTCAAGAGGGAGAGTGTTTGGTGTTCCAAAAACTTGTCATTGTGGAGAACAAGTGATGGAATTGATTTCAAATCAAACAACAATCCGTATAGGCGCTACTTTCGTTGCGGATATGCTGTAGCTAGAAAGGTAATTCGATCACAATCCCTCCTTTTTATTTGTTTTCTTAGTATAGCGAATGTTGATTTTGAGTTTGTTGATGAATGTAAGCTTGCCAATGATAATCACACATTCAAGTGGGTTGATGAAGCTCATTTAGATGAGATAGAAGCACTGAAATCAAAAACTGCAAGACTTGAGGAGAAGCTGGAAGCGGTTACAAGTGAGAGGATGAATGAGTTTGAGAAGAAGTTATTTGAGAGAGTGGAAGAGGCATTGGCCGAATCATCATCCATGACAAAGAAAATGGTGATTGTTGTTGTCATTTCGTGTGTGGTCATGGTTGGGTTTAGTAAGCTCTATTAGGTTGATCTTGGGAGAAAGTTGGATTTAGTAAGAATGTTTTGTAACTTTGGTTTGATTGTTATGAATGCTAATGGTAAGAATGTTTAAAACTAGTGATGTTGTAATGGTTTGATTGTTATGAATGCTTTTGTCAATCATGAATGCTTTGGATTTCTTTATGATTGCACCTAATTTTGTTATAATCCAAATTCATTGAGATGACCAAAAGCTTAACAAAGTGCATCATTATCATTACCAAAGTGCATCATAACAAAATACCAAAGTACATCATCATAAAACATCCTAAACCAAAACCAAAATACCACAAATGCATCATCATAAAATATTCTAAAACCAAAAACCAAAAGTCGAATGCCCATACTTCTTCCACTTATCCGAGAATACCCATACTTCTTCCACTACTCTACTTCATTCAATCCAATGTTTGGGAGGATTGACCTTTGTTGGCTTTGTTGGCTTTGTGAACCCTCCAACATCAACTACAAAAAAAACAAATACAATGTAGCATTAAAACACACACAACACAAACAAAACAAGACAAACTTAAGAGACTAGATTTAAAACAAAGGATTACTAACCCTTGGAGCATCCTTATCCTTCGCATGATGCCTTGAATTGTGATTAGCCTCACCACAAACTCCGCAATGCATAATCCTCTGTTTCTCTTTCCGCTGCTTCTTTGTTGGAGACTCATTAACACCCTTTTTCCTTGTCTTCTCTGCTTTGTGAGCTTCTTCTTCTTCTTCTTCGTTTCGTTTCCAGGTTCTTGGCCTTCTTCAGCTGCTTCTTCCCCTGGTTTTTCTTTCTCAGGAGGAACATGCACATCCGGAGCATTTGTCTCTGGCCAGAACCTACAACCTCTGACTGGAACGAGTCCATCTGAGTAGTTTCTTCTCCACATACCTGAGCGGAACCAATGACAGACGTAGTCCAGAGGATCAAGACCATACTTCAACATCACTCCATAAGCATGCTTGCATGGAATTCCCGTTATCTCCCACTTCCTACAAGAACAAGTCCTATTCTCCAAGCTCACTGTATAGCATTGACCATTAAGCTGTGCTTGATAGTAGCCTTTCACACTCTTAGTCACCACACATTTCTTGCTCCATGTTTATGCGGCTTATCTACAAGCATCTTAGCTAGTTTCTTCTCCACATATGGGGTACACTTACCTGAAAATTAAAACCATACATGTTAAAGTTGCTTATTAGAAACAATATTACAAAAGTAGTGACTATATTTCACATTTATCTTTGTGGTCATGAGAGATTTGGGATCTCACGGCTATCCGTGCCATTTCTTGTCTTGCTATGGTTTCCAGCATAGGGATAAAGGGCTTCTCTCTTGCCTTGTTGATGGAGCTGTTGAAAGACTATGTCGAGTTATTTTCAACATCTTCACAGCAAGGTCCCAGCTTGTAGAAAGCTCTGCACCAACTCCTAGGACTTGTAGCCATAACATCATCATAGACACCAGTGTCATAGTTTCTGATTCTGTCCAAGTTGACTTGGAACTTTGCTTCATTGTAGCTCCATGCTAGTCTCCATATAAAGCTCTTCATCCGTGTTTTGCCTCCATGTTTCTTCTTCAAATTCCCATAGATGTGTCTTACACACTTCCGATGCTCTATCTTAGGTAACTCTATCTTGATAGCTCTGATTAATCCCTGAAACATAACCGCAAATCAAGTTACAAATACAAAAGAAAGTAAAATCAAATGTAGAATACAATACAAACCATAAGAAACTTACATGATGCCGGTCTGAAACAGCGATGTATCCGTCACCATCTTGAAGATCTAAATCCGCCTTGAGATTCTTCACAAACCACTGCCAATTATCATTATTCTCCACCTCTACAACACTCCATGCGATTGGATAGATACCATTGTCTGCATCTCTACCTAAAGCAACCAACAACTGTCCCTTCACTCTCTCTTTCAAGAAGCAACCATCAAGCCCTATTAATGGTCTACAAGTCTCTTTCCATGTCTTCCTAAGGACGTCAAAGCAAACATAGAATTGATGGAACACTTCTTCACCTGCAGCATTCTGGAATGTCTCCACTTCCACAGATGAGCCTTGATTAGACTCTACTATCTCTGCTGCATAATTCCTAAGACGTGCAAACTGATACTCATACTCACTTTCAATCCACCTCAAAGCTGTCCTCCTAGCAGCTTGACATTGAGGTCTAGACACGAAAATTCCCCAATCCTCCTTCATCAATTGTTCGATCTTCATTGGCATATAATATTCCGGTTCTTCACGGATCTTGTTCACAAAAAACCTAGCTATCACAGGGACCTTCACCATCTCACACACTCCATTTCTCTCACATGTATGCTCTTCTATAAACTTCCTAACTCTCCAGATTTTATCTTTAGGAAGGATCGAAGCATAAATTTGCCAATGACAAGGTTCTTCATTGCCATCTAAACCCAGACAATCGAAACCAATCTTGTCTTTATCATACCTATACTGCCTGATATTGTACCTGGTTCGAAGAGCATAGTCGAGAACTCTATCCTTGAAAGCAACTCCATTGAAGAAGGTCTGATTATCATATAAATGCCCATCACCACGAGTTATATGCGTCTGCATTAATTCTCGACCATCTTCCTCTACTTCGTCATCGGTCCCTGGTCGTGGACAACCGCCGGCTCGTTCTCGAACTCTTGCAAGAGTTGGTCGAGCTGATGCTCTTCTCGTTCTGCTTCTTCGTCGTCGAAATCGAACCTCGGCGCACGATTTCTACGAGGTGGAGCCATGACAAACCCCGATTTCAATCTACAGGACAAATCTCGAGTTGATTTCTCTCTCACTTTTTCTTTCGATTTCTAGGGTTCGCGATTTCTGAATTTGGAGATTTTTTGGATGAAATGGTTTATTAGTTGTAATTGGGTCTAAATCGGGTTCAAAGAGGTTTAGTTTGGTTAAGAAGAGATTCGGGAATAGTAAACCGTCTTTCCCGACCATTAAACCAACTTAATTCTAACTCGGTGTGGATCTGTGTATTTAACTTTGAACCTGTGGAGAAATGCGCAGTTGAATTTATATCGATGGGGAAATAGATTTTTAAGCTTCCAATGATGGGGAAATGATACGAGGTCTTGGGCCGCATACAGTACGACTGAAACTTCGTGGTGGGGAAATAGGTCGCCGGCCCGAAAAACTATGATAACTATTGCAATATAGGTAATGTGTTTGAAGGACGATGATCTTCTTGATGGAAGAAACTACACTCAGGTAGATGTAAATTTCCGTCTCACTTGTTTCTATATGTCCAAAATAAAAGGATGTGACATTCGAGTGACGGAATACTCTCCATCTTAAAATAACCGGCCTGCAAGTCAAATTACATAATGATAGAGATCACGAGACTGATCATGGTGATGAGTCAGAGAGACGGAGGAAACGTTTGCGGGTGGTAAGCATTGGACATCCATATTTTCATTTCCTCTTCCTTTGCGTTTGCCTATGAACTTTGTGTTGATGCAGTGTTGACCGAGTTTTAGAACATGTCATCACAGATGAAGATATAATTGACTAAAGCATTTAACGTATTCGTCAAGAAGTAGTACAGAAAGTCGTGTTCAGTAAAATGGCTTAAGGAATCGATCTGATGGGCTGAACATTTGCTTATAGTTGAGGAGGACGAGTCTAGGAGATTATAGAAGAGTCAAGAGCTAGTTGGACGAAGAGATTCGAAGCTATCAAGCAACTAGGAATATTTCCTTTTCCTAGAGAAAAATAAAGAAAGATATATTCTCCAGAAGATTTGGAGTGATCTCCAAGAGAAACCTCCTTGTAGGGTTACAAGTCGTACCTATTGTGGATAAATAGGGCGTAGAGAGCATTGGATATGCTCAACCCATTACATTCGGAGATGCCTTAACATAAGGTTTTAGGGTTCTAGTAGAAAGACCAAACAAAGGGTTAAAGACATTGTTTGAATGTATCCATCTAGGAGAAAATTATTGTCATTATAGTGCTGAATATCATAGCAATTGTAATTGTAATCTTGTTCTAGTGGATTCTGGACGAGGTCCCGGGAATGTAGGAAACGGTTAACAAACTCTATGTGTTTTTACTACTATTTATGCTTATACTACTTTCTGTATTACTTACAGTTTACATTGGTACCCCCATGCACTTTCACTTTGTGTTCATGCAAATTTAAAGCTCATCAATCAAAAACTATTAAAAGAAAAAGTATTAAACATTTTAACTTTCAAATCTCGAGATATATACGATTCATTAATCTTCACATATACTGTACAATATTTCTTTTTGAGTGGCGGTGTTTCAATATTTAATGTTACTGTAGCAAATTTTCTTTAATAAACTAATAGGTCAATTTTCTCCAAAAACCTAGTCGTGTTTTAGTTAACCCTAAATTCATTCCTCTCCAGGGCATCTACTGCAAGCTTGCTGTATCATGATCTCCGGAGAAACACAGCCACCACCATCGTTTGCTTCCCTTCCGGACGAAATCGCAGAAAACATATTGGCACGTGTCTCGAGATGGAACTATCCATCGCTTTCTCTCGTCTCAAAGAGATTTCGGTCTCTAGTTTCTTCTATGCAAATCTATAAGACACAATCTCAAATCGGATCCCAAGAAACATGCTTCTATGTCTGCTTAAAGATGCGGAATCAACCATATCCGAGCTGCTGAGCTGGTTTAGTCTTTGGGCGAAACCTAATCAAACCCTAACCGAACAAGAAGGGACGACGACTGGGTTTAACAAGGATTCAAGTGGAAATTCGGTTGTTCTGACACCTTTCTCATCTTCCCATTCTTCTCACATAACAAATCAGTCCACCATAATAGATGATCCGGAAATCTACATAATCGGTGGACCCTCCAAGGAACCGTTGTCCTCAGTTAGAATCCTTGATTGTCGAAATCATACTTGGCGTGACGCTCCTAGCATGATCGTGGCTCGGGAAGATGCGTGTGCGATCTTCTGCGATGATAAAATATATGTGATGGGAGGCTGCGATATTGACGAGGACTTTGCCAATTGGATGGAGGTGTTTGACATGAAGACTCAGTCTTGGAAATCGTCTTTTGACAAGCAGGAAAACAAGATTTGGTATGCGAAGATTTCTTTAGAATCAAGATGCAATGGACGTGAGATTTGGGGTCAGGTTGAGTGTGTCGATGAGCTTAGGTTTCCTGTCGAATCATATGAATCATTTAGTTGTTTAGAAGTATCGGTTTGATGATTCTTAGCGAATTGGTATGATCAGTCGTTTCTTTTTCTTTGAACATGCTGAATATGTTCGTTGTGACATGCTGAAGCTCAACTTAAGTAACTGGTGGGAGGTCCCCTCACAAGATTGGAAAAACACGGAATCGTCGCGAGTGAAGTCACGCGCGAGCGATTCTTCTCTCTTTTTCTCCGCTTCGTCGTTTTCTCATTTTCTCTTCTCCGAGGTCTTCTCCGACGTCCGGCGCCGCTCGCCGATGTTGTGAGGGGACCTCCCACCAGTTACTTAAGTTGAGCTTCATGGTCGGGATCTGGGTTAAGAAATGGGCTCGAACAATTTGGCGACTGATTCTTCTCCGAGATATGAGGTGTGGTTTTTCCGGTGAAGCTTGCGACTGCGGAAGCTCCATGGCGGGGGCGTTTGAGATTCGGACGAGATCTGGTGGTAGCTGGTTCGTTTGAGGACGGCGAACTGCTCAACACCGGAAATCGGAAGAAGATCGGCCAAGGCTTAGAGGTGTCGTTTGTTTTAGCCGGATAGGAGGGATGTGTCTTTGTCGGAGGAAGCTCCGGTGTGACGGTGGAGCTGGCTTAAGGATGGCGGGTCCTCACGGCGGTGGCTCTGCTTGTCGACGGCGGTGGAAGATTCTGACCGGATTGAAGAGGAGTGTCGCGTGGAGGTGGCGGAGATGTGTGCGGTGAAGCTAGGTTGAGCATCGGAGGTAGTCTGGTTTAGTGAGTCGTCTCCGGTGGAGGTTGGCGTTTTGGCCGTGGGAGGCTCGGTTTTCTTCTCTGCTTTCGTCGGTGAGTAAAGGGTTCTGATTCAACGCTGCGGAAGGACTGAGTGGACGGGATTGGACAACCATTCTACTTGGAGCCCCAAGGCGGCGAGGATGAGCCCTGGTCTCTTGTCCGCCGGCGCGGTTGGAGGAGGATAAGAGAATCTTTTCCCCAACACTTTTCAACTCATTTCTGCATTTTTATTCGATAATCCTGTATTGGCCCAGATTCCAACCCAAATTATGGGATTTATATATATATATAAAAAATTATATACTATATAAAAAAAATGTTCGTTGTTGTGACAAGTTTTTGTTTTATTTTTCTTTTACTTATTTTTTCGTCTTTTATTTGACGATGCTATTTTGATAATATATATTGGCTATGTGTTTTACTAAATTAAGTTTTTATCAATTAGAATTACTAGGATTAAAGCCAGGCGCTTGAATTGTTTGCAATAATTTTTTTTTTTATTCGTTAATTTAAACTATGATAATGTGTACATGTTAATGTTCATATTTTAGTAATGTTTTGAAATAATACAAACAATCACATGAACCTGTTTTGGACATATTTAGCATTTTTAAATATTTGTTAACATGGTGTAGAATAGCATTTTCAGTTGAAGTATGGTATAAAGTAATCTTTATATTATTAATTGAGAAGTACATTCTAATATTTGGATACAAGAATAAGAGAAACATCTATTTGGATAGAAGAATATGGATATAAGAATAAGAGAAAAAATTATTTGGATAGAAGAATAAATGGAAAAAAATTGTTTGGGTACAAGAATAATAACTTAAAACAAACCGATGGTTTAGAAAACTGCTGTATTCCAGCTTTTAAAAAATCTGCAAAAAGAAAAATTAACATAATTTATCAATAATACCAAATCAATAGAACATGTTTTTGCAAAATTTCCAATAGTGAAATAGAAATACGTCTAATTTTTGTGGATTTCTGTTCGGGTTTTTTTGGAAAATTTATGTTCGGTTTGGGTTCGAGTTTTTTTGGGTTTAGTTCAGGATTTTCGGGATTTTTTTGGATTTTGGATTTAGACATATAAAAAAAGTTTGGGTATTTTAAAATTTTTATTAGGGTTTTTAGGTCGGATTCAGGTTTCGGGTGAAAAAGTTTCGAGTTTTTTTAATTCGGTTCAGGGTTTTCGGGTTTAGACATCTATACTATGGGGATTATTGGTAGGAGCTGTGGTTGCTCTCCACAGCTCTATATCTCTCTACAGCACTCCAAAATTACCAATCATGCTCTCCTTTTATCTCTTTCCATTTTTGAAACATAGAACAATTTTATTTATTTATGGAAGTTCCGTAGCTGTGGAAAGAAGTTTTTCTAGAGCACTAAATTTAGTGCTCTCTAAATTTTCTCTCTTCTCTTTCCTTATTATTTTGTCTATATTCTTTTTTTAATCTCTTATTTCTATATCTTCTTTTTTTTTTTAATATTTCATTTAATACACAATCTACAAAAAAAAACATCTTACAACACTAAAAACTAAAGCCACAACACTAAAACCTACAGCCTAAACTCTACAGCCAAAAATCTAAAGCCACAACCACAATCAATCAGGCCCTATATAAAAGTTGAGGCTATAAGCCTCTAAGAGCGTCCACATAGGATCCTAAAACGATTTGATTGGTCCACATAAACATCTCAAGATTAGGAAATTTTCTAAATTTTAAACAACCAATAGTATTACTCCACATCATCATATAAAATTTGGTAATTTCCTTATTTTCAAGAAAGTTTCCTAATCTAAATATATTATAAATGTTTTGCATTAAAGATTTTATAAAATATTTCTTTTTAATACCAACAAAAAAAAACTAACTTAACATGTATAATTTTTTTTATTAAATCTAATATATATGACAACAATCAAAATCTAACAAGATTTGAATTAAAAACATCACAAATCCTAAAGTTGAAGCTATAAGTCTCTGAGAGCGTCACATAGGATTTAAAAACACGATATTATTAGTCCATGTAAGCTTTTTCCAATATTAAAAATTTCCAATTTTAAATAACCAATAGTATCATTCCACATCATCATATGAAATAAATTATATTTTAAAATTAATTTAATCAACTTTTTATATCTCAAGAAAGTTTCTTAATTTAAAATAACCAATAATATCATTACATATCATCATATAAAATTTACTATTTAAATTTGATTGGTCTACATAAAGATATACATGATTAAAAAAATTTACAATTTTTAAATATGTAAGAAATAAGAAAATTAATATATATGATTTTAAACAGCCCAATAATATCATTCCAGATAATCACTAAAATTAAGTAATTATTTTCCTTTTTATAGAAACCTTTCATGTAATCACAATTTCTTTTCAAGTAATTAAATACTTTTAAAAATAAAAAATATATTTTCTACTTACAACAAAAAAAGTTGTCATGTAAATTAGTTATATTGCTAAGACAAGAACCAAATATATGAAAAAAAAAAACACATAGGAGGAATAAATAAAAAAGTTTAAGCAAAGATGAGTGAAAATGAAAAAAAAAACTAAATAAGAATAAAGAAGAAATCAAAGTAGGAGAAATTAAAGAAGAATAATAAATAAAAAATATAAACGAAAGTGAAGAAGGAAATAAAACCAAACAAGAATACAAAGAAAGATAAAGAAGAGTAAAGACGAAGAAGAGCAGAAGCCAAACAAGAACAAGAGGGAGGAATAAAGAAAAGCAAAGACGAAGAAGAGCGAAGCGAAGATGAGTGAAGATAAATATGAAACCAAATAAGAACAAAAAAAAATCAAAGTAGAAAAATTGAAGAGAATCAAGAAATAAAATTAAAAAACATAGAAACAAGAGTGAGTAAAGAAGGAAATGAAGAACAACGATGTGTCGATTACTTCTCTTCAAATAAATTTTCATACTCCTAGAAATCCAACTAAATAGTAGCATTAGTTTATCTACAATAATATTAGCTTATCTAGATTAAATTTGTTAGACATACATTTTATTTTTTAAAGGTTTAGCTAGATAGTGAAAATTTGTTTCTACCTAAGATTAAAGAGGTTAATACTAAACATATTTCCAAAAAATATAGTCGTGGAGAATTTTAAGCGAAGAACAACTAATACATAGAAGAAGAGGAAGCTGGAATAAACAAACTATAGGAAACCTAGCATTTTCGATGAAAAAATAAACCATAGAAGAAATAGAAGAATAAGAACCATAAGAAAAGCAAAAAAAAAAGTATTAAGAAAAGCGAAGACGAAGATAGCAAAGAACAAAATATAAATAAAAAATCCATATAATATAAGACTAAACCAAAAACAAATAAAAAGATGATACCAAAGAATATGAAATTGAAAGCTATGCTTAACTATATTTTATGATCACATAAATTGAATTATTTGTATTATTGTTAGACATTGTTCAATATATGTGTGAATTATATTTGTATATCTCTAACTTTATTTTATTTCTATGAATCCATTACATTTTTAAGTTTGGGTAAGTGTATCAAATAGTGAAAATTTTATTTTACATAAAATTAAATTAAAGAGGACTACAGAAAAAAAATATTTCTAAAAGGGATACAATCGTGAAAAAAATTCCAGCAAAGAATAATATAGAAAAAAAGTAAAATTCTAGCAACTTCGACCGTCTGAACTAATCATAGAAGAAACAGAAGAATAATAAGGAATATATATATAAAAAAGATAAGAATATCAAAGAACGAAAACAAAAAATAAACAAAAGATGAACAAAGATGAAGAAGCATGCCAAATAACGGAATAAGAAATCGCGAGGACGAAGAAACATAAAAGGAGAGTAAAAATGAAGAAGAAACCAAAGAAGAAAAAGAAACCAAATAAAGGAGAATAAACCGAAGAAAAATAAACAAAGAACGAAAAATAAAAACATCGGTTAAGAGTCATCATGAACATGCTACTAACCACAAAAGTTTATGAATAAAAAATATTTAATCAAACTAAAAAACAGACCCGCGCTTGCGCGGGTGAAAAACCTAGTATCAAAAAGGTTTAGGTTTTTAAAAAATTTTGATTAGGGTTTTTTGGGTCAGGCTCGGGTTTAGGATTTAGATTTTCTTCACAAAACCGCAACGTCACAACGCGCGTTTGCGCGGGTCCTCTACTAGTATATATGATATTTTAGTGTGTTTTAGCATGATATTTAACCATTGATTTTTTATACTGTTTTAGTTTTGAAAGATTAATTTGTGTTTCTGAAAAGGATAACTTGATTTTCAATGCTTAAATTAAAATTTGCAAGCTTTTAGTTTCGATAACAAAAAGGATGATATATAAATTAGTTACCTCGTAAACATATTATAACATTTTTCACTCATAAACATATTGTAACGGTATGTGAAGGTTATGTTTACGATATATAATATAGTTGATGTGGTTGATGGAAAGCTTTATTTAGCGATACATGACAAAGAGTACGCTTACGACCCCAAGGATGGTAAATTGGAAATTGTAAGAGACCAATCTAGTTTACTATTGGACTCCTTAGTGGCTTTTTACGAGATAGAGACACTCTCCACTACTCATTTGTAAAGTTTCGTCTCACTTGTTTCTGTATATATGTCCAAAATAAAAGGATGTATTCGAGTGACCAAAGACTCTCCACTCCACTACTCATTTCCTTTGCCTTTGCCTATGAACTTTGACTTTGTGTTCATGCAAAAAGTTCAACAATCAAAAATCTACTAAAAAAAAAAAAAAATTAAATATGTTAACTATTTAATTTCGAGATATATACAAACAGATTATTCAATCTTGGAAATACAATATTCCTTTTCAAACATACAATATTTAATATTTAATTTTACGGTAGCAAAATTAGTTAACCCTAAATTCATTCCTCTCCAGCCTCCAGGGCATCTACCACAAGCTTGCCGTATCATGAACTCCGGAAAAAGACAGCTACCATCATCGTTTTCTTCACTTCCAGAAGAAATCACAGAAAACATTCTTGCACGTGTCTCGAGATGGAATTATCCATCGCTTTCTCTCGTCTCAAAGAGATTCCGGTCTCTCGTTTCTTCTATGCAAATCTATAAGACACGATCTCAAATCGGATCCCAAGAAACATGCTTTTATGTCTGCTTAAAGGTTCGGAATCAACCATATCCGTGTTGGTTTAGTCTTTGGGCGAAACCTAATCAAACCCTAACCAAACAAGAAGGGACGACGACTGGGTTTAACAAGGATTCAAGTGGAACTTCGGTTGTTCCGACACCTTTTCCATCTTCCCATTCTCCTCATGTAACAAATCAGTCCGCCATAGACATTGATTCGGAAATCTTCGTAATCGGTGGACCCTACAAGGAACCCTCTTGCTCTGTTCGGATCCTTGACTGTCGGAGTCATACTTGGCGTGACGCTCCTAGCATGACCGTGGCTCGGGAAGCTGCGTGTGCGTTCTTCTGCGATGATAAAATATATGTGATGGGAGGCTGCGATATTGACGAGGACTTTGCCAATTGGATGGAGATGTTTGACATGAAGACTCAGTCTTGGACAGCCCTTCCTGGTCCTGGCGCTGATGAAGACGAGTTACGCAGTCTTTTACGTGAATGTTATTACTACGATATAGCTGTTGTGCGTGATGGAAAGCTTTATCTAGCGATAGATGACAAGAAGTACGCTTACGACCCCAAGGATGGTACGTGGAAACTTGTAAGACAACAATCGAGTTTCCCATTCCTCTCCTTAGTGGTTTGGTGTGACATAGATAATATCATATACGGTTGCACTTGGTCTAAAGTTTTAATGTGGTTTGACTCCAAGACTGAGGGTAGAGAATGGAGAGAGATTAAAGGTTTGGGAAAACTGTTTGAGGACCGTACAAGTGGTTTCGGAACTCGGAGAGAGTTTGGCATGGCTAACTATGGCGGGAAACTTTTAGTTATGTGTAACAAGCAGAAAAACAAGATTTGGTATGCCAAGATTTCATTAGAATTAAGATTCAACAATGGACGTGAGATTTGGGGTTAGGTTGAGTGTGTCGATGAGCTTACGTTTCCTGTCGAATCATATGAATCATTTCGATGTTTAACAGTTTCGGTTTGATGACTCTTAGAGATTTGTATGAGTCGTTCCTTTTGCTTTGAACATGCTGTTTTGGTTCTTTGTGTCAAGCCTCTAAATATTAGTTTATTGGTCTTTCATTTGAAGAACACACTTTTTTTTCTTAAAATATTATATACTGTCCATTTTGCTTTATAAAATTAAATCCAGAAGATGAAAATGTTTTTTTAAGAGCCTAGTAAATTATATCCAGAAGATTAAGGTTCGTTCTCATTTGATATATATCTAAATATGTAATGACTTTAAAAGACCCCAAAAAAGGCACTAAAAGGATGTGTTTATAGGTAATGTGTTTGAAGGATGATGATCTTCTTGATTGAAGAAACTACACTCAGGTAGATGTAAAGTTTCGTCTCACTTGTTTCTATATGTCCAAAATAAAAGGATGTGGCATTCGAGTGACTGAAGACTCTCCATCTTAAAATAACCGGCCTGCAAGTCAAATTAGATAATGATAGAGATCATGAGACTGATCATGGCCAAGAGTCAGAGAGACTGATCATTTGACATCCATATTTCATTTCCTCTTCCTTTGCCTTTGCCTATGAACTATGTGTTTATGTAAAAATCTCAATAAACAAAATCTCAGTTTCTGGAAGGATATAGAGAAGCATGAATAGAGAAGTGTATCAAGAAAACATGGAAAAGAGTGTAACCAGTGTAGAGACAAGAATACTTGTGTGTTCTTTATGGTTTATTAGTGCTTGTTTTCCGTACAATCTATGGTACAGTTTCTGCTCGAATGGTTAAAACTTTTGGAAGAGAATAAACATGTATATACATATATATACACACAAGGGATCAAAGTTGTAAAGCCTAGTTATAACCAAACTTTAATGGTTACATCGTAATGATTCACCAAAAACAAGCTTTTACTTCTTCAAACTCACTCATCTCACATTCATCATTCTCCACAACTGTACACAGTACACACACCTGAAGAATATCACTCACACACAGTCACACTGAACACTCTTTTTCTACCTCTATTGTTATCTCAAAATCAGGCATGGTCACAAATTAGGTTTTAGATCTTAGCCAAGGGACATCATCCTCAAGGAGGAGTTAATTTGCTTCTTCAAAGCAATGAGCCCTGGCACTGAACCTTTTGGTTAGTCTGGTGTTACCTTTTCCAGCAGTTTCAACATCCTGGTAGCGAGCTCGCTGAAGAAAAGTGCGGGAGAGACCTCCGGGAGTCATTTACATGAAGTGAATGCTCCCTCTGGCTTGACAACGACCCAACAACCCAGCTCCTTGACGCATTTCCGGGGCTAAACCTGTGCGTATATCTTGAGTGAACAGAGCGAGGCGAGTTGTAAGATCTTTGTGAAATGGCGTTCCTGAGATCTACTGAACTTCGGCTAACCGGTATAGGCGGGGAACGTCCGTATGACCCGGTTTGGAAGCTTGCGTGGGAGGGAGAGTGGGAGAGACACATAGGGACTGTGTGTTGCTGCATTGTGGTGGATGATGATGAGGGAAGATCATAAGATGACTGCAACGGTGTTGAGGAAGGTGATGACAAGAGAAAAGATGACGTAGGAGTCGAGCCAGGAGAAAGCAAGTACGTGTGCTCCGTTGCAGGCGTATCGTTGCTGATGGTTCTTGCGTCTCGTTTGCAAACAGGGCAAAAGGATCTCCTCTGGCCAAGCCACAAGTCAACGCATCCAACATGAAACTCTGCCAAGAAAAACAACATCAAGATTCAAGAACAACAACCAAATCAAGAATGTTTATGCAAGAAGTGAGCTTACTGTGATGGCAAGGTAAGATCCTAAGCTTGTCTCCAATGCGATAGTCCTCAATACATATAGCGCAAGAAACAGAAGTGGAAGCTTCTTCGCAAACACCGTTGAAGATCGTTGTAGGCATGCTTCTTAGCGAGTTTATCCCCATACGAGGAAAGTCTCTGCCATTCAGAGACCGAATCCGCCTGCGCCTAACTCTGTGCCTACGGACGAAGAAGCAAGTGGCGAGCACAGCAGACATTGCCAGGAGTGATATGAAGGAGATAGCCATGATTGACCACGCTGATGTCTCGAAGCTTGGCATGAACCAAAGCTCGAAATCGGTACGACCTACATACTCTCTGAGTGCTTCCCCTGTTGCTTTTGACACAAACGTTCCGTATATCACTACACCAGAGGGGTTCCCTGCCACTACAACACGTTCACAATATCATTAGCCATCGCCAAGAACAACAAAATCAATGCCAAGAACACGCCAAACCAAACTCAAGAAACAATCATATTCGAAATGTCTAAGGTAACTATAGAACGTGTTCTAATTGTCTCTCACAGGGCATAGATCTTGCTATAGGAAACTATGAACAGCTTCTTCTCTTATCTAAATTCATCACATTCCTAGATTCTTTTATGATACAAATGTTAAGAGACTATGATGAAGAAAAGCAGAGGGAGATGTGTATTACTTGAGACTAAGAAGCCATAATCTTCATAGTCATAGACAATAGCAGCTTTATATCCAGCTTTCTGAGCATGTCTAATCTTGGCTTCGAAACTGCAGCCGCCGCGGATAATCAACACATACGGAGGAGCTACAGTTGGTCCTTCTTCCACAGTCACTGTGTTAACCAAATCGGAACAAGCATTGAGTGGCTCTGCTACGTACAATACACCAGATTGATCCGATTTCTTAATCATCGGAGCTGAAAGAAATGAAAAAAAAGCTTATCTCTCAATACAGTCACTGCATATCAATCACAAAATTTCTTAACCATAACTGGAATTAACAACAAAGTTTCAAACTTTCAATACACTCACTAAATTTGATCAAGACCCATTTCAAAGGCTGATTAAAAAAAAAACAATTTTTCGAACAAAACTATTGGAATTGGCAACAAAGTTGCAAACTTTCCTGCATGCGATCAAAATCCAAATCAGCGATTCCACATCTTGTTGACATAATTAATCAAAGACTTTGAATTTTTCAACAGTGATCGAAGGAAATAGAAGAGGAATCGATAGAACAATTAAGTAGAAATGAGAGAACTTACTGAAATTGGCTTGGATGTCGTCGAAGGAGAGAGATGTGTTCTTCCCGATCAACAAAACTTTTGCAGAAGCGAAGTGGGAAATTAGAAGCAGACACAAGATTAAAATCGACCCGCGAGTCATTTTTTTCGTTTTTCCGTAAGCTTTCGAACGAATCGAACAAACCCAGAAAAACGAATACAGTACCGAAAAAGTTGGCAAGAGAAACGACGATTCGCAAGAGAGAAAATTGAAAAAGTATTTTAGGGTTTTAATAATCGAAGAAGAACTTGAGCTTCCATTGAGGGCGAGGTCAGACCAGGGCTCTGTGAATATCTGAAAGGTTCATAAATCCTTTTATTTTTAAGTTTTGGTATATCAGTTAATTTGGGGAATATTTCAGAAAAGTATACAAAGTATTCGTTTGTTTTGTAATAAAAATTCTATTTTGGAAAGAAAATGTTGCAAATAAAAATCAAATATGTGGAGTTTATGGTGATGATGTGTACTATCAATCAGAATGATTTGATGTAAGGAATGATTTATTTTTCTATTTTCTGGAATTGGCAAATCAGAATGCTGACACCTTAACACATCAGCCACAGAACTTAGTGACATATGTGTGTGTGTCATGTTTAGAACATATTTACATCTCTTGAAGTCATTACAAAGGATGCAAAGGATGCAAAGAGTAACATGTGGTAGTGGACAGTGGTGTTATTCAAGATTTAGACCATGAAAAACATCAACAAATATGCATTAAACGAATTTTGGCACCATTCTGCCGACTAAGAAATTGCTGTGATCCTAAATGAATTTTGTTACGATATAGTAATAGAACAAAAAGGTAAACGCATACCCCACGGTATAAAAAGTAGTGTTAACTGTGATATAAAGAGTAAAGACTGCTCAGAAGTTGAACAGATCAAGGCAGGTATTTGGAAGCCAAATGTTATCGCTAAAGCTTGTTTGGTGACCAAGAAGCTTCTCAGAAGTGTGGGTCATTACTCATTGTGAATGATGTGTTAAAAACTGGTTAATGAGGTTGGACTGGAGAGTAAGTACGATAAAGAGTAGAGTTTGTGAATGATCATGTTCTGATACCAAGTCTGAAATTACTATATACGCTAAATACTCTTGATCGTAGTTAACATTATACTAGTACTCTTTTCCTGACTTTGCAAAACCAAAGTTTTTTCCTAGATAAACGGTTTGGCTTTGTTTGTTATTTTACCACTAATAGCTACATGGTTTTTGTTTCATTTTAATGCGACTAATAGACTTTTTTGGCTAATATCTAACTAACAATAGAGTATAATCCCACAAAATGAAATTGAGAAAAATTTATTGGGCCGTCATTGTTGATGGGTCTGTGCGATCATAGCTTTGGTTTATCCTTTAAAGGTCTACCACAATACTTTTTTTGTAACCAAACAACTGTGTATGTGTTTGTCCTTTCATATATCCTTTAAAGAATGGGGCTTGTATAGAAGAAGAAGAAGAAACAACCGTCTTTAAATTATACCATTATATTTCCACACTAACAGCTCTATTTTATAATATTGTCCAGAAAAGCGAAATTTAATTGGAAGAGTGGTCCTCACGACGATGAAGTTTGGAACTTGTGGTCGTGCAGTGCAAAGCTGCCAAAAGCGTGTGAACTTAAGTACACAACCCACTATAATTTGGAGAAACTGGTTCATGAATTCTTGTTCATTCGCTGGAACGTGTCCATGCAAGTCGGTGAATTATTTATATTCTTTCTTTTTTTTCTTCATTTACGACCCTCTCTTTCTCTGACACTAGTCTATAATAATATAGATAACCATTTTGATAAACAAATAAAATGCATTTATACCAAAAGAAATGTAGAAAAATAAGTCATTTCTTGAAAAAAAAACTATAATGAGAGATCCCGTTTCGAAACTCGGATTAATCATCAAAATTTGAGAAGTACTAAATATTCTTATGATCATTTAAAGTATTTACAATGCTGAACTATGAGTGTTATAGCTTCACGTTCTTTGTTTAAGTAAATTATCTGTGACTGATTCATTTGCAGGAACCTCTTTCCCAAAACACCGGTTCATCTTTCAAAAATTAATCAAAAGGAAAATCTCTATATCATCGTGAAATATATGTATACTAGTAGAGTACCCGCACGTTTGTGCGGTGTGACGTTGTTGTTTTGTGTAGAAAATTTAAACCCTAAATCCGAACCCGACAAAAAACCCTAATCAAAAAATTTAAAAACCCAAACTTTTTTAATAGGTCTAAACATGAAAATCCGAAATCAAAAAAATCCCGAAAACCCTGACTGAACAAAAAAAATCTGGAAACTTTTTCACCCGGAACCCGACCCCAATACCTAATCAAAATTTTAAAATACTCAATTTTTTTAATATATCTAAACCCGAAAACCAGAAATCTAAAAAATCCGGAAAACCCTAAACTGAAAAAAAAATTGAACCTAACCCGAACAGAAATTTTCAAAGAAACCCGAACAATTTCTATATCTCTATATATATCTCTATAAAATTATGTCTCAGATTTTCACCCAAACCCGAACTTGTCTATAAAAACCCGAAAATCCAAAAAGCATATTCTATTGATTTGGAATTATCGTTAGATTATGTTAAGTTTTTTTTTTGCAGATTTTTAAGAGATGGAAAACGGAAGTTTTCTAAACCATCGGTTTATTTTAAGTTATTATTCTTGTATCCAAACAATTTTTTCCATTTATTCTTCTATCCAAATAGATTTTTCTCTTATTCTTATATCCAAACAACTTTTGTTTCCATTTATTCTTCTATCCAAATAGATGTTTCTCTAATTCTTGTATCCAAACATTAGAATGTACTTCTCAATTAATAATATAATAAAGATACAAATATTGGTGTTTGCTCTGGACCTCTCGTGACTGGTAATATACATTGCATATTCTGATTAGTCAAGTAGTGAACTCGTCATTCCTAGTATTCATCTTTGTCCCTTTCCTCCATTTTTCTTGTAAATTCTTCGGAAACTCGTACCCAAACATAAAAGTCTCTTTGGAAAGTATCTTTACGCCAACGTCTCGTCTCGACGTAACAATTACGACCTACAAAGTTTACTTGTTAAAATTATACACACAGATCAGAATTAATCTCACCAAACCAAGCTTCCACGGCTATTCAACGGAACATGGATAATAATAAAGAAAACAATAACTATCTTTTTACGTGCTCATTCACATAAATCGTCCCTACATATTTGAATCTTATCAGCTCATTGTTAAACATCTTTTCTGGAATGCAATTATAAATTAAGACAAATATAATCACTACGGTTGCCATTGTACATGTGTATATATATATAAATGTTTGTGAGTTGTGACATTTCAAATTGTCAAAATTGTTTTATACTCGATTTCTTGTCCTAACTTTTTATATATATATATTTTTTTTCGATTTGTTTGCATATAAGATTCGACCTCTTTATCAGTCACCACTTTTTAAATACGATTAAAAACAAAATTGATCAGGGAACTATTAAATATGAGGGTCCTTATTATCGAGTTTTGCTGATGGAGAGTTCATACGCTAATTGTTAGCAAACGACGTGCTGACCACTGTCCACGACGATAATTAGTAGTCACCTCATGAGATTATACAAATTTTTGCTTGTAGTTGTACTGATTGAGATTATAAAAATCAACTATCTTCTTACCAACTTATTAGGTAAAATTCGTATTCCATCAAAATCGTTTACTATCTTAAACCGACTTCAAATCCTATCGTATTTAGACATACATTTTAAAAAGTAGAAAAATTAATTAGTTGTACTTTATCATCAAATATATTAATATAGTAACATTTTCTATACATCTCTTTTAGTAATAGACTAAAATGGTAATAAAATGCATAAATGGCCCGTCCCTACCTCTCAAATCTTATTAGATTTTTTCTTGTCAATTCAATTTATTAAAATAAAAGAAGTTGGTAAAAAAATTAAAATTGAAACATAAATGCTAATGGTCACGGGACAATGAATTAAAATGAGAAAATAATAGTTTAAGAAAAATAAAAAACATATAATAATTGCATAAAGACGAGTCAAACATAAACAAGAACGAAGGGTGCGTCTCTCGTCTCCTCCTCTCTCACTCTTTAAAATCAAAATCAAAATCCATCATCGTCTTTCTTCTTCTTCTTCTTCATCATCATCTTTCAAAATCCAAAATCAAATGGAGAAACCAAACCCTAGACGAGCCTCAAGCAGTGTTCTCCCATACGAAACACCCAGATTAAGAGATCACTACCTCCTCGGCAAAAAGCTAGGCCAAGGCCAATTCGGCACAACCTATCTCTGCACGGAGAAATCATCCTCCGCTAATTACGCCTGCAAATCAATCCCCAAGCGGAAGCTCGTTTGCCGCGAGGATTACGAGGATGTGTGGAGAGAGATTCAGATCATGCACCATCTCTCCGAGCACCCAAACGTTGTTCGGATCAAGGGCACTTATGAAGATTCCGTCTTTGTCCACATTGTCATGGAGGTTTGTGAAGGAGGAGAGCTTTTTGATCGGATTGTTTCGAAAGGGCATTTCAGCGAGCGTGAGGCTGCGAAGTTGATTAAGACGATTCTTGGTGTTGTGGAGGCTTGTCATTCGCTTGGTGTGATGCATAGAGATCTCAAGCCTGAGAATTTCTTGTTTGATAGCCCTAATGATGATGCTAAGCTTAAGGCTACAGATTTTGGTTTGTCCGTCTTCTACAAACCAGGTTAGATTTTCCATGAATTCAAAACCGGAACATTTCAAGTATCAAAATTGGGTCTTTTTCTGTGTTAGTTGATTGATTCACTGTAAAGAAATTGTCTTTTTCGTTTCTTGATCTAGAAAAAGGTTTCTTGATTAGGTAACTGCAGGATCTTGTTGCTTGATTGAGCATTGTTAATGGAAACATTGATTTTTCTCTGGACAGAGTTTTTTCTGCTATAAATGAATCTCCTTTAGTAAAAAAGCTTCATCATTTTTTCCATGGTTTTGTTAAATGTAACATTGCAATGCCATAAGAGCCTAGAAATGTTGTCTGACTTTGTGATTTTGCTCTGATTTTTTCCCTTCAGGGAAGTATCTGTATGATGTAGTAGGAAGTCCATATTCTGTTTCACAGGAGTCTCTTAAATATTGGTCTTGAAATGCGTTTTTTTTTGCTTGAGCATTGTTAGAGAAACATTGATTTTTCTTTTGACATCAAAAGCTTCATCATTTTCAAATTTGATGATCTCAAAGAGTTTCCATGGTTTTGTCAAATGCTACTTATGCTTATGCAACAATGCCTTTAGTCACCGGCTAACAAAACTGTAAATTTTGCTGATTTGGCTCTTCAGGGCAGTATCTGTATGATGTAGTAGGAAGTCCGTATTACGTTGCGCCGGAGGTTCTGAAAAAGTGTTATGGACCGGAGATAGATGTGTGGAGCGCCGGTGTTATCCTTTACATCTTACTAAGTGGTGTTCCTCCTTTCTGGGCAGGTGAGTTTATACAAAAGCCAATACCTTTGTTTTACTAACCAAATGACACATTGCTTATGAATTTATATCCATGTTGAAATCTGCTTGCAGAAACCGAGTCAGGAATCTTTAGACAGATTTTGCAAGGGAAGATAGATTTCAAATCTGACCCGTGGCCTAGTATCTCAGAAGGTGCTAAAGATTTGATTTACAAAATGCTTGATAGGAGCCCCAAGAAACGCATTTCTGCACATGAAGCCTTGTGTAAGTTGTATAATGATTTATGTATAATGGTTTCGTTGTTAGTTCGTATAAGCTATAAGAGTTTTGAGTTTTCGTCTGATGGTTTTATTAGGTCACCCGTGGATCATTGATGAACATGCTGCACCAGACAAGCCTCTCGATCCAGCAGTCTTGTCGAGACTAAAACAGTTCTCGCAGATGAATAAGATCAAGAAAATGGCCTTACGAGTAAGAAAGCTTGAGACTTTTGTTCTCTTTCCTTTAGTCTCCGATCATCCCATTGCTTATTTTCAAGAACTGGTTTCTCTGTTAGGTAATCGCTGAGAGGCTCTCGGAGGAAGAGATCGGTGGTCTGAGAGAATTGTTCAAAATGATAGATACAGACAACAGCGGAACAATCACCTTTGAGGAGCTTAAAGCTGGTCTAAAGAGAGTCGGATCCGAATTGATGGAATCAGAAATCAAGTCTCTTATGGATGCGGTATGTTTCCAAAACATAATCCATCTTTTAGGATATTGATTGTTGTGCTTAGATTCTTAGAATCAATGGTGTTTGGCAGGCGGATATAGACAACAGTGGGACGATAGACTACGGTGAATTTCTAGCAGCGACGTTACACATGAACAAGATGGAAAGAGAGGAGAATTTGGTTGTTGCTTTTTCCTACTTTGACAAAGATGGTAGTGGTTATATCACCATTGACGAGCTACAACAAGCCTGTACAGAGTTTGGTCTCTGTGACACTCCTCTTGATGATATGATCAAGGAGATTGATCTTGACAATGTAAGAAAGAAGCCTTGATGATCTGTTTCCTTTTGTGTATTGTTTCTTAGTGTAAACACTGATGTTGAAAATGATGTTGGTTTGGTTTGGTTTCAGGACGGGAGGATTGATTTCTCGGAGTTTACTGCGATGATGAAGAAAGGGGATGGAGTTGGGAGGAGCAGAACAATGATGAAGAACTTGAACTTCAATATAGCTGATGCTTTTGGAGTTGAGGACACTACTACTACTACTACTACCACTTCACAATCTGATGACACACCAAACTAAATTATACATTTTGGAATTGAGAAATGAGAACTCACAAAAGGAAAAAAAAAACTGAATCTTGATCTCTTTCTCTCTTTTTTTGTTTTCGTTTTTACTTTTAATTTTGTAGATGTGCAACATTCTCAATTTTGTTATAATATGGATTATTTTTGCTTCACATTCTCTGCCTTCTTCAAGTTTCTAACAAAAACCAAGAATATGGTAATGGATTGTTGTATCTCATCCACTCTTCTTTAGATCTTTTGGTTAAATTAAGAACTTCAAACATATACATAATCAATTTGCTACAAAAGCCAATAGGCTGCTGAGTAGATCTCTGAATCAATGATTCAATATACAAAGCAAATCATGGAATCAAGATTCAGTAAACTAGCTACACAAGAACTTACTACAAAGAGACCACAAAGAAGATTTCGAATCCATATCAGTGGTTTTAAGCTCCGAGATGTTTCAGAAGCGATCTTCTTCTTAGCTTGAGCTCATAAACACCTTGGAGAATCCCGGAATGCAACAGTATAGTGCTGCTGCTCATCTATATCTTATACAAATATTTATGCTCTCCAGTCTTTCATTCATATACTCTCTTTCTCTTTAGGAGAGCAGGAAATATGGAGATAGATCCAATGAGGAAAAGAACAGACAAAGTCTTGAAATCATAAAGATCTTTTACTGATCTGAGGTCTCCAAGAGCCAGACCAGCCTGTACACAGTGATGATGTTAGCGTGTTTAAATGCCAAAGAAGATATGAAACAAGAGAGACTCACTCTAACGGTGATGTACGAAGCTGGCATAAGACCGACTAGAGTTGCCGAAAAGAAGACGTGAAAAGGTATGTCAACAATTGGAGAAGACAAGTTGATGAAGAGATTTGGAAGTGTTGGTGTTATCCTTAAGAACAGCATGTAATTTAGCAGCCTATCTCTTCTCTTCGCAATCTGATCTCAAGGCATTAAAATCCTTATGAACAAGAGAACATTAAAGTAAAGCTAATCATTAAAACACACGAGGAAAAGTTACCTCTGCTTGAAAAAACCTCAACTTTTCAGGCCACAACCAGGAAACCAGAGGCCTTCCGACTAATTTAGATAAGAAGAAACAAGAACACGCTCCAGCTGTCGCATTGAGGACAACAAGAACGAAACCTTTGACTACGCCGAAAAGAGCTCCGGCGAGCAGTGACATGAAGATTGTTCCAGGTATCATGAAGGTTTGCATGAAGATATATGTCGAGCAGTAACCTAGTATGAATTTTGCTGGGTACTCACTTGCATAAGACCCAAGATTGTCCCTGCATAAATGTATCATCATCATCATATAGTAACTCCAAGCAAATCACCAAACTAACAAAACAGTTTCTGAAAAGTCTTTTCAAATCATGTCTTTTTCAGTTGATTTGTTGCTCTCTAAACCAATTTTAGCAAAAGATGAGAACTTTCAATTTGGGTGTTTTAAATTAGGAAACATATTCAAGATACACTCACTAACATCAACAAAACCAATTTCTCTAGCATAATGTCTTCTCAAGCTGTTTTGTTGTTCTCTAGAGCAAATCTCAGCATCTTAGGAAAAGATTCGAACTTTCAAAGATTCAAACTTTCAATTTGGGTGTTTTAAATTAGGATTCCAGATTCAAGAGACACTACTGAAGAAAAAGCTAAACTTTGAGTTTCTCTACCTTACCAGAAATTCAATTTCAATGGAGGGAGAAAAACAGAACAAGAAGAAAGCATAATCTCACTTGAGTAATCGGAGATCGGAGATAGTCCTGGGAAGTTTGAGCTTGCCGTATTCAGCGGCGGGCATGGTGATGTAAATACACAGAAGTCCAGTGGTGAAGACGAGAAAGACGGTGAAGAACACGGCGAATTCCCACCGTGAGAGCGGAAATCGCTCCGATTTGGTGCGTTTACCTGTCGGTGAGTCATCGTTGATGATTCCTTTAGCTGCCGACGACGCGGCTGCGCTTTCTTCGTCCTTCACGAGCAGCTTTCCGCCGCCGTCGCCGGTTAAGTTCCGTGGTGCCGCCATTTCTGAATGCTCTCAAGAAAACAAAATTCCAGCTCCTGAAGGAATTTGAGAGATTGAATTGAATTTCACAAAAGTTTTGAGCTTTCTTCTTTTGTGTTTCCTTCTCTTACTACATTTAAATATAGTTGTTGGAAAAATGTGCAATTTCAGACGCAAAATAATCAAAATTAATACTCCATTTGACTATTTGTAAATTAATTCCAACAAGGCTACAAGAGCATATACTATATACTTGTCATCACCATTAGCTAACCTCCAAAACCAAACCTATTATACATTTATACTGTTGCTTTTCAGGTTTATAGCTTCGTCATCAGGTTTCAAATTTGCTTAGCAGTATGAAGTAAAGAGATTTCAATTTAGAAATTGTTGAAAAAGAAAAAAGATTTGGAAGAAAAACACTGATTTTCTTTTGTAGATTTCTATTTCCCAAAGAAACAAATTTGTATACATAGTCAAACAAGTTTCCTGGCAATAATACATATTCTCATAACAAGGAACAAGCTTTTTTCAAAGAAAGCTTCTTTGGAAATTCCCAGAAGAGAACTTGGAAGCCAAACCTTCAGCCATACCTTCAGCATCGAGTTTCACCTTCTGTCTCCCGGCGTTGAGGTCGTTCTCGCGGTCCCATGGCTTCCATGGATGCTTCCCTACCCACTCGTCCTTCTCTGTTTTTTCTTTGGAAGAAGAATAAGGCAATTTCTTCTTCTTCGAACGGCTTGAAGTTGACGAAGAAGACTCTTCTCTGTGCTTCTCTACCAAAGATTTTGATCTCTTCTGTTTGTTGTATTTGTCCACAAGATCAGCGTCTATGCTTCTTTTCATATTGTCTCCTTCGCTTGAAGCAAGCGCACTCGCCTTGTTGTATGCCTCCAAGTAACTGCAACACCAGAAAGAAAAATCTTAAGAACGAAGCTGAGCTCTTTAGCCAGCTCACAACAGCTACAATCTACTACATTAAGTCCTAGGCTAGTTATAGTAGACCTATATCTAAAGTTTGAGCAGCTGAATCTTCAAATAGGCTCAGTGTGTCTTTAACTTTATCACAAAACTCCCTCGTCAAATGTGGTTTACAAGTGCTAGCGAGAGGTTGAGATATTTGTGTTCTTACTTCATCTTTGCTCTTTCAGCTTTGTCCATAGGAGTATCAGTCCAGACAGTAGTGTCTCCACGTCCTTCTCTAGCATTTCTGCTAAACGCCGTGGTTGATTGCTGCACAGGCACTCCGGTCTGCAAAAGACGAAACCCCGGGATGAGATTAAACATTTGAAGCTTATTAAAGATAATTAGAAAGAGCTTTTGATGCAATTGTGGTTCTCTGACCTTTCTTTCAGGAGGAAGAGTGGTCATCCACTCGTCTCTTGTAGGTACAGGTTTAACCTCGGTTGCTGCCAGTAGCTCTGCATCGCCTTCCATTGATATGCCTACAAATTGAGAAAAAAAAAAATCAATTACTATTTAATCGCATAAAGGATAAGAGATTAAGGAGCATGCATGACACCAGTGGCTCATCATCATCAATCATCACCTTGTGATCTTCTCCATTGTGCTGCTTCTTGCATTGAGCGTAATTCAGCCTGAGGAACAAGTACTACACCGTAAGTGATATATACAAATTTATATAAAAAGATAAAGTTGATCAATTCAGTAGAATAGCAAACCTTAAAAGCCTCCTGTTCCTCCTTGGCTTTAATCTTGTCATCCATAGCTTTTCGCTGCAGAACATATAAAATGGGCTCAAGTTTTGGACAACCACGTAAAAAGAGATTATGGATGGAAAATATGTTAGCCTTCTGAGAGCATGTTGAGACATAATCAGACAGTTGATGCAGAAACTCACCTTTTCTGGATCTTGTAATTCCTTGAAAGCCTTATTCAGCAAAACGAAAGCTTCCTGAGCTTGAGGATGAGAGCATTTGTCTGGGTGAACTAAAAGAGACAGTTTCCAGTACCTATAAGATTAAAGTTGTCTTATTTCTTGCCTATTATTGACAGACACAGCATAGAGAGATCCACTTATTATCTGGATTCGTATAGAAACAATGGCAACATGTTTATACCAATTATGGAACTGAAGTTTTTATAGTGCCTAAACAATCTTATTCTGGATTCCAAAAGTGTAACAGAAACCGTACCTCTTCTTCATGTTATCAGCAGCCATATTGTGGTTCACTCCTAAAACGTCGTAAGGACTATTAACATCAGCTTCCATGATCCGTGTCACCTGCTTACACAAGGAATATGAGTTGGTTCTCCGGTGAACATGCTTATCCTTTAAATGTATTTATAATGCCATAAGGAAAACTAAGAACCTCTTCGAAGCGCTCTGCCTCGTTTGATAATGCAACTTCTGCAACAACAGCCGGTGGAGCAGGTCCTATAAAATACTCTGAATCTTCTTCTAGCTCAGCTTCTCTAAAACATTTTCAAAGAATATTTGTTAAGAAACAATTTATTCCATTCCAACATAAACATGGTAAACGTTCAGCTGGTGATTGATTAAACGCACCTGAGTTCAGCTTCAGCTTCTGTTAGCTTTGCTGCTGCAGCAAGTAGCTCAGCCGATGGCATTGCAGGTCCAATCACCCTGCAATCAAATTATAGCACCGTCAACGTTTGTTCTCTAGACAACTTTTACATATAATCATTCAAAGCGTGAATCACCTTTTCTTTGGACCAGCAACATCATCTGCTCCAAGAATGTTCTCATCTTCCAAACTCTTTTCTTTCTCATCATTCCCATTCCCAGTAGCAGTTGCTTCAGTGTTCTTCGATGGAGCAGAATCGTCAAGGTTTTTCTCAACTTCTTCTTCGCCGCCTTTAATGAGATGTCCCACCACATCTAAAGAAGGAGAAGCACCTGGTGGCAACAAGAAGACTCTATCTCCACGTTCCTTCAACTTCAAAGACAGAAACAGCTTCTTCAGCCGCTCCTTCAAAGCTTTCTCCGAAATGCCCTTTATATCAACTGCTTGTCCATCATCTATCATCTTCAAAAGCTACAAAGAAAGAGCATAGAGATCGAAACATCAAAACACAGAATCATTAAAGGAATACTACTAGCAAGAAATTCTACTACTCATAACCAGAACTATCTCGAATCAGAGCGAAAAGAAATATCACATTACCTGTTTCAAATCACTGCCAACATCAGGGAACTCTTTGAGCATCTCCTTTACCACAGTTTCAGGCTCATCCTCTTGATCAGATATGGACTCAGAACCGGAATTTGACTCGGTATCAGACTCAGACTCGTAGTCACGCTTCTTCTTGGTCCTCTTCTTCCTATCTTTCCTCTTTCTCTCCCTTCTCTCCATCTTCTTCCTCTTCCTTTCCTTCTCTCTCTTCCTCCGTTTCTCTCTCTCGCTACGCTTCTTCCTCCGCTTTCTAGATGACGAATCCGACTCATCAGAGCTGTAGGATGAGCAAGACGAAGACGATGCTGAAGATGGACTTTCATCCTCCGAATCAATCTCTCTCTTCCTACGCTTGCCCATTTCGTTCAATCCCTGAAATCAGATTCCAAAACCAATCACAAACCCCTAAAATCGAATATAAAGTTTGATAGTTGAGACATGAATCCCTAATCAGCACATGTAAACTTGAATCGAGCTGAGCAATTGAAACCTAGAAGTTAAAAGGCTTAGCATAAACGGAAGAATAAACCCTAAATTCCCGTATGATAGTCTCTACCAAACAAATGAAACATCAACACTACAATTCGAGAAGCCTAAACCTAAGATATATCAGACTAATCAGAGAAACAACGATTCGAGAAGATTGAGACGATTAAACGGCCGGAGCACAAGCAACAATACCTTCGATGACGACAAGGTGTGGCGGAGATAAATCAACACTGAAATTCGCGTTTACGGAGCTGTACGGTAATTGGAGAGATTATTTATTATTACAGATAAAATTCTTCAAAAAGCTGAAAGAACAAGACGGTGGTTTACTGGTTTACGTCAAACCAAGTAATTGTAAATCAATTACAAATTTATAATTTAACCAAACCATAACCAATGTGGCAGTTCTCATGATTATAAACTAACTAATGGGATAACCATAACCAATGTGACAGTAATGATTACATCGACTCCATATTTTGTAAACCGGGTCAGATTGATTGGGTCGAGGAAGAGAACGATCGACTAATCATCAGAAGCTAAGAAAAAAATCAATTTAGTCGATCGTTCTCTTCCTCGACCCAATCAATCTGACCCGGTTTACAAAATATGGAGTCGATGCAAGAATATGGTAGAAATCATGTATTCTTAATGTTGTCTCGAAGCAGATCTATGCAACTATACTGTATTTTCAGGATGCAGCTGGTACTTGGGATGATCTATACAGATGTTTTCACAAGACCAATCTTCTTTCTATCTATAATTTGGACCAAGAAATATGCACTACTTGTCAAATGTGCTTTATCTCTAATGGAGAAGAGAATGTCGTTGCTCTTAAGTCATGGTGTTGTTGGATGACAAGGAGAGTTCCATGTGGCTATAAAAACGTTTTCATCTTCTGGAAAAGCACATAGGCAATACTGTTTATATTATAAAAAAATAAAACAAGTTCTTCAAATGAAAGACCAAAAAATAACTAACTACTAAAAAAAAAAAAAAAAAAAAAAAAAAAAAAACTTTCAAAACGAACAAAAACAGCATGTTCAAATTTAAACCCAGAGCTCATTACTTGCTTCACGGATGGCGCTTGGTGTAAAGACACTGCAATTAGTGGATCGGGATGGAGATTCGTAGACTCCACATGCACGGAGATAAGCCGCGGCCATTCAGCCGAGAGATTCATTTCATCCCCGTTGGTAGCGGAAGCCCTCTCGATCCGATCTGCCTTGAATCAAGCCTTAGAAGAAGGCTTCTCCACCATCCTCGTTAACTCAGATGCTCAAGACCTTGTTAGAGCTATCAACTCGCAAGAGAATTTCAAAGAGATCTACGGTCTCCTTTTTGATATTCATACTCTTGCATCGATGTTTGACTCGATTTCCTTTCAGTTCATCTCTATATCTGAAAACCTTGTAGCAGATTCTATCGCAAAAATCGCCAAGAGTCGTTTGGTTGATTTAGTTTCAATTCGGGACCCACCAGTGTAACTGGTTTGGTCTGTTTCTTAATGAAATATTAAATGTTGTTCAAAAAAAAAAAAAATACAACCACCAAGATTTCATCAAGCATAAGCAGTCACAAAATGAAATGATTCAAGTAATTCGGGATCGCCAGGAAACGTAAGCTCGTCGACGCACTCAACATTACCCCAAACCTCACGTCCATTGCATCTTGATTCCAAAGATATCTTCGCATAACAAATCTTGTTTTCCCGTTTGTCACCAGAAACAAACCACATAACTAAAAGTTGTTCACCCCAAGTTATGAACTAAAAACCGTCTCTCTCCAGTTTTGAAACCCATTGTAGGACGAAGTTTTTCCAAACCCTTGATCTCTTTTCACTCTCTACCCTTACTCTTAGAGTCAAACCACATTAGCTCTCCAGAGGAGTTGCAACGGTAGATTACATTCTCTATCATATGCGAAACCGGTAAGGTAGAGTCGAATGAGAAACTAGATTTCTCGTTTACACGTTTCCACGTACCATCTTCCGGCTCGTAAGCGTACTCCTTTTCATCTACAGATATGTAAAGCTTTCCTTCAGACGCAGCAATTTTACAGTAGTTGCAACCTCCACGTAAGAGATTGCGTAACTCGGCTTCATCAGCGCCAGGACCAGGAAGGGCTGTCCAAGACTGAGTCTTCATGTCAAACAACTCCACCCAATTGGCAGAGTACTCGTCAATATCGCAACCTCCAACCACATATATTTTCTCATCCATGAAGTCCGCAAGTGCATTCTCCCGAGCCACGATCATGCTAGGGGCGTCATGCCAAGTATGACTCCGACAGTCAAGGATTCGAACAGAAACAGACGGCTCCTCGCGGGTTCCACCGATTATGTAGATTTCTGAACCAACCCTTAAGATGGACCGATTTATTATGTGAGGAGAATGGGAAGAAGCGAAATGTATCGGAACAACCGAGTTTCCACATGAATCCTTGTTGAACCCAGTCGTCGTCCCTTCCTCATTGGTTAGGGTTTGATTTGGCTTCGTCCAAAGACTAAACCAGCTTGGATATGGGTGGTTGATCAACTCTAAGCAGAGATAGAAGCATCTTTCTTGGGATCCGATTTGAGATCGAGTCTTATAGATTTGCATGGAAGAAACGAGCGACCGGAAACTCTTTGAGACGAGAGAAAGCAACGGATATTTCCATCTCGAGACACGTGCAAGAATGTTCTCTGTGATGTCGTTCGGAAGTGAAGAAAACGACGACGGTGGCTGAGAGATTTCTTCCTGCGGTTGTTCCACTGTTTCGGTGATCATGATCGGCCCGAATGGCAGTAGAAGTTGTGAAGTCTGCAGAGGAAAGAATATAGATTTAGGGTTTAAAGCAAAGAACGATTAGGTTTCAGAAATATATCTCTTTATGTAAATGTATTAATTTTAATTATTGGATATATCATGAATGTTGCCAAAATTTCTGAATTTCTAATTTGAATATTTATCTTGTAGATCATTTATAAGAAAATAAATGGGAGAATTGAGGCAATATACATAGAAACTTCCCAAATTAAGAATACAGAAATAATACTTATAAATTAATTCCATACATATAAGGTGGTTGTCCCGCACCTTGTGCGGGTACAATTTTTTAAATACAATTTTATTATATAAAGTTGGATGTGCGCGACGTGGTTGCGACACATAGATTTTTATAAATTATATGATCGCGACATGTGTCACTTTTAATGTTAAAACCGTTAAGATCGTGACACATGTTTTGAAAAAAAAAGAATTTTTATTTATTTTATTTAAATATTAGAAAAACGAAAATTAAGAAAAAAGAAATTTTAACATATAACATTAAATATATATATATATATAATTATAAATAGATTAACATTAAATTTTTACATTTTTTTTGAAACAGGAAAACACAATTCAAGAAAAAATAGGAAACAAATAGCAATTTTTTAAAAAAATGTTATATCCATCAAGAAAAGGAAAAAAACATACTCCCAATACGAAAAGGAAAAATAATCGATATTCAGAAAAACATGAAACAAATAATAAAAGAAAAAATGTTACATCGTTAAGAAAAGGAGAAAAAACATATTCCCATTAAAAAAAGAAAACAAAAAACAATATATAATAAGTTATAGCTTTCATGATTTATATATACGTCATGCTTTATATAATAAGATTCTATCTTTTGTTTAAACTTTCTTTTTAATTACAAAATAAAAATCATGTACTTTAAGTTCAACATATCAATGAAAAATATTTAACTTTAGATAAGTTGGGTAGAAATTGAAAATTTTGTCGAACATGTGTTAACAAAAGAAAAATAGAAAAATGTAATAAGATAAATAAAAAAACTAACAAAATAATTTTAAAACAACTAACTAATTATGAATAAGAAAATTTATAATGGTCCGAGGCAAAACAAAATTGAACAAAAAAATATGATAAATAGAAATTTAACAAAATAATTATAACATTAAAAATATATCTAATTGACCGATATTCTAATCCTAAGTAGATTAATTTTCTATTTTTTGGTAGGTAAAACAATATTATGAAAAAGATCATCAATCGAAATCTTTTAAATAGAATAATCAATTATAATTAAATATTATAATTATAATAGTCAAAATAATCTTTTGAATATTATTCTACTTACTTTTAAAAGTGACCAGATTTTTGTTTAGTATTTTCTATGATTTATTTCAATTATATTAAAATAAACCCGCGTATACGCGGGGCCTAATCTAGTTATTATTTAAAGATTTAAATAATATAAGTAGTACAACTTTTTATTGTATTCATCGTTTTTGTTTTCGCAAACTTCTTATTTTTGTAATCTTGAGGTGTCTTATTTTTATCTTCTCTTTCTTGTTCTTCTACGTAATATTCTTCATTTGTTTTGGAATTTTCTTCACATTCCATTATTTCTTCTTTCCTTTCTTTTTCCTCATGTTCGACTTTTCTTTTTCTTTTCTAAATTTTTCATCTTCTTTTTCACTGTTTTCTTTTCTTTTACTTATGTATCTATTATGTCTTGTTTGTGTCTTGCATATCACCTACCAATTCATTTCGATAGTTAAAATTTTCAATATTTTTGAAATAGATTCTATCTTTATATAGTTGAGGTCTTTTAAAAATTTATTAGTTTTGTTATCTTTCAATTCTGGATTTTCTTTAGTTGTTTTAGTTTTTTTTTCTATTTGTGAATGTAATTTTGAAAGTAGATATAAATTTCAAATAAATGATTTTTTTATTATGAAATTCTTCTGTAATAATTCAAGTTTTTTTAAAATACACCAAAAACTAAACCCTACCCCATCAATATAAACCCTACACCCTAAACCCAAACCCACAGTGTAACACCACCCCCTAAATAACCCAAACCCCACATTGTAACACCACTACCAAATAACAACCCCCCCCCCCAATCCGCACACCTAAACCCACATTTTACAAAATCTTTTTAGATAAGTTTATTCAAATTAGGGTTTCATAAGATTTAAGTTGAAAATAAAAACGAAAGATGTACATACCACTAATTTTTGTCAATGCATTTTTTTTGAGTTGGTACCATAGTTGATTTCTTTGACTCAATTAGCTAACAAACCTGGAATTTACTGTTATAAAGGTAAAAGAAGTAGAAGTTAGATGCGATTCTTTGAATAAAATTTCCAGAAAATAACGAATAATCAGTTAAACATTAGATCTAATACAACTAAGATCTAGCAATAACTATAAACCTACATGACAAAAGATGAAATATGGAATCGAAGAATTTAGAACACGAAAAAGAAGAAACGAAATTCTGTTTATTTTGCTTGTTAAATAGGACTAAGTCGGTTGTAAAATCTAGAGTTTTTTTAAAATACCTAATTATTTGATTTCTTCCAGAAAAGTGGTGCGGTAATATGATAGTTAGGATATTTATTTAAGTGATAAATATAAATCGAGGAAAAAAGAAAAGGATAATTATCAATATTTAATAAGGAAATTAATAAGGAAATAATGAACTTTTATATAAAAAACGAAATTGTGAAATAATTAAAAAAGGAAATTCAGAAGATTTAATAATAGATTTTCATTAAGGGCATCTTGGTAATTCGCGACTGAGAGTTAACGTGGTGGCTCCATTCACGAAAATTGATTTGCAAATACTAATATGATGTTAGAAACAGATTATACCTGATTTACCCCTATAAGATTATTGTATGAGTTGGTGACGTATTGAGACTCATGGGACACAGATTAAATGCGTGCTAACATTTAAATTATTATTTGTTAACATTCAAACAATTATATGCTAAAAGTTGTTGGTGTGAAAAGTAATTTACACATTAAATGTTTCTTAATTTTTGTAAAAAACCTCAAACATCTTATACTTTTGAAACAGAGGGAGTATTACCTATTAACAAAACTATTGAAATTATGTTAACATTTTCAAATCATTATATGCTAACATTTAAATCATTACATGCTAACACTCAAACTATTACTTGCTAACAAATTCATTAACAACAAAATACAAAATATGTGTCATGATCTAACAAGATAATATGATGTTTGTTAGCAAAAGACGTGATATTTGTTAGCAAAGTAACGTGTTTTTCGTTAACAAGCTAACATAGTCTTTGTTACCAAGATAATGTGATGTTTGTTAGCAAAGTATGTAATGTTTGTTAGTAAGGTGACATATTTTTTGTTAGCTAAGTAACTAAAAGCTTGTTAGCAAAATGCTAGTAGCCACCTATTAGTAGGGTTTATTCTGTCTTTAGTCTATGAACAGGACATGAACAGTGTGCAAAAAAATTGTTATAAAATGTCACTTAATTATCCTGTTATCTGTGTACATCAATGCAATTTGCCAAAATAAATTAAACAATTATTATAAATAAACAAAAACATTATACAATTTCTTTAAAATTATTTATGCATTGTCTTTCTGAGAGCGAATGAGGTAACGATGTCTCACTGCTTCAACAGTTCAACTCTTGCATCTTCTGAGTAGGTTTTATTCGATCTTATGCTAGTTTCATAACTTTCATTAGTATCTTTACCTTGGCGGTTTTAAATCGTTCAATACTGCTTGGCCCGTGGGCCTACCCCTGTCCGGCGGTCGGTGCGTTATTTTTGGGAGGCTCGGAGAATGTATTTATTATCCTTGCAATCATCACCCGACCTTTTCCCGTGATTTTTTCCTAACTCACACGGTTTCGCAGAGGACTTCCCGAAAGGTCACCCATCCTTCCATTGCTCTAGCTCAAGCACGCTTAACTCTGGAGTTCTTTATGGGCCATTGACCGTAAAGATAAGTGGATTTTGATGACATAGGTAGCCAAATCAATTCTTTTAACATCTTCTCATTTATTACAAACCTAGATGTTACAATTCACCCCAACTCAATGAGCGCAACGTCCCCGTTGCATACCAAGATCGTCACCCCTAACGGTTTGCAGTGTGAGCCCACTCGACTCCACACATACATCTGGGTTCGGCTCTGATACCAATTGTAATGCCCCCGCCGCCCCTCCCGGTGAGTCACCCACACCCTCTCTTGGTCTGTGGGCCCCTCCTTTGTCTGACGGTCGGTGCGTTAATTTTGGGAGGCTCGGAGAATGTATTTACTATCGCTGCAATCATCACCCGACCTTTTTCCGTGATTTTTTCCTAACTCACATGGTTTCGCAGATGACTTCCCGAAAAGTCACTCATCCTTCCACAGTTCCACTGCTCCAGCTCAAGCACACTTAACTCTGGAGTTCTTTATGGGCCCTTGACCGAAAAGGTAAATGCACTTTGATAACATAGATAGCCAAATTAATTCTTTTAACCTCTTCTCATTTATTACAAAGCGGATGTTACATATACGCCAGGTTTCCTTTTCCAAAGTCCGACTTTTCTGTCTTGTAATGCTTGCGGAGCCATCGCATTTTCATTCAGCTACATAGCGATCGTATTTACTGACTTTACAGTGTATTCAAATATATAGATAGACAACTATCTTAACATAGTCAAGTGTCTAGACTACGACCAAACTCAATTTTTACTAACAAGATTATGCATCTGAACAACTAAACACCTCATGTGGCGAGTGGCGACGCTAAATGTTGACTCTGATATCGAGCTTCCGGTTTAACCAATTTCTAGACAAAAAATTGCTGGATTATCAATACTGTAGCGTAGTTTAGTTTGGAGTGGTTTTAAGTTCAAAAGTAATGGACAATCTCTAAGAGTCATTAAACATAAGCAGTAAACAAATGAAAGGATGCATATGATTCGATAGGAAATGTAAGCACATCGACACACTCATCATTACCCAAACCTCACGTCCATTGCATCTTAATTCTACAAATCGTCACATACTAAATTTTGTTTTTCCCTTTGTCACCAGAAAGTTTCCACACAAGTAAAAGTTTTCTAACATCGTCAGCAATGTCAAACTCTCCCCCAGTTCTAAAACCACTTGTACGGTACTCACGCAGTTTTCGTCCTTGACGACGGGTTTATCCGTTTTAATGAGCTGCTAGCAAAACAATATATGTATTATGTAACACGAGCTAAAAACATAGATCTGTTGCATTGTAACTATAGTCACATGAAAAAGAACAAAAATCAATGTGTGACCTTTCAGACCGTGTTCCGGTGTTCGGGACCAGTTTGTCTTAGCATGCTCTTTTTTTTTAAGTAGCATTCTTGAACAACATATAATTCAACTAGGTACAAATTGATTTTTTCTTTCATGAGTTAAGCTCAATGTAATGGTATTCTTTTGCTATTTCCATGGCTCTAAAAACATTTTGATCTTCTTGATTAAATTTAATAAAGCACATACCCAATATATATTATTAGAAAAACATGTTCTTCAAATGAAAGACCAAAGAACTTAAAATATATAGAGGCTTGTCACAACGAAAAAAAAAACAGCATGCTCATAGCAAACGGAACGACTAATACCAATCTCTAAAAGTCATTAAACCGAAGCAGTTAAACAAATAAATGAATCATATGAATCGCCAGGAAAAGTAAGCACATCAGCACACTCAACCGTACCCCAAACCTCCCCTCCATTGCATCTTGATTCTAAAGATATCTTCGCATACCAAATTTTGTTTGTAGGTTTGTTATCATCAGAAACACCCCACATAACTAAAAGTTTCCCACCAAAGTTTTCGATGACAAACTCATTCCCATCTCTTAAACCCCTTGTAGGGTGCTCACGCAATTTTCCCAAGCCCTTAATCTCTCTCCATTCTCTAACCTTAGTCTTAGAGTCAAGCCACATTAACTCTCCGAAGTAAGTGCAACAGTAGATTACATTCTCTATTTCACACCAATCCACTAACAAGTTGAATAGGAAACTCGACTGCTGTCTAACAAGTTTCCATGTACCATCATGTAAAATTTTCCCAATCTCGTAAACATACTCCGTGTCATCCACCGCAACGTAAAGCTTTCCATCAAACACATCAACTATATTTTGATCATAATCATCGTGTAAAAATTTACCTAGCTCATCATCAGCGCCAGGACCTGGCAAAGCTGTCCAAGACTGAGTCTTCATGTCAAACAACTCAAGCCAATAGGCAGAATACTTGTTAATATCGCAACCTCCCATCACAACTATTTTCTCATCGACGAAAAGCGCATACACATTCTCCCGAGCCACGGTCATGTTAGGGCCGTTACGCCAAGTATGAGTCCGACAATCAAGAATCCGAACAAAGGAAGACGGCTTCTGGTAGTATCCACCGATTATGTATATCTCCGAACCAACCGTTACGGTGTTCTGATTTGTTATGGGAAGAGAATGGGAAGAAGAGAATGGTGTCGGAACAACCGAATTTCCACTTGGATCATCCTTTTCTATTATAATATTCCCTATCTCTTTGGCTAGGGTTTTATTAGGTTTCGCCCAAAGACTAAACCAGCTCGAATATGGGTGATCATCCAACTGTAAGCAGACATAGAAACATGTTTCTTGGGATCCGATTTGAGATCGAGTCTTATAGATTTGCATAGAAGAAACGAGAGAGCGGAATTGCTTTGAGACTAGAGAGAGCGATGGATAATACCATCTCGAGACACGTGCAAGAATGTTCTCTGTGATTTCGTCTGGAAGTAAAGAAAACGACGACTGAGGCTGAGAGATCGTTTTCTGCGTTGGATCCATAATCAGCCGGAATGGCAGTAGAAGTTGGAAGTTGTGGAGACAAAGATTATAAATTTAGGGATACAAGTTAAAAACACCGTAAAGACCTTTTGCTATCATTAATTACCACTAAGAAATAAATAAAAATAAAAACTTTTGCGCTCTTAATAAAATTGCAACAAAAATCAATCAGTAAAAAAGCAATACTGAAAATTAATTAATCAATTCTTTTAATATTAATTTAGCTTCATTTTAATAATTAAGAAATGGTAATATCTGTTTTTTCAAACTTAACCGAATATTTAGTGTCTATTATTGAATGATTCATGAGCTAATGGTGAAGAGACTTGACATTGAAAGTAAGCGTTACACTGGTTTTCAAGACTTTCTATTGGTGTTCAAGCGAAAAATAGGAACCCACTGTTTATCTGTATGATCTTTCTGGAGATTTTTAATTCCAAGAGGCAAGAGTCCTTTGCTTAATTGCTTCCTGTCGTGATTAATATTCTGTGAATGTTCTGGTGCAATTCTTTCAATCACCCCCCCCCCCCCCCCCTTTGTAAAGTCCTCATTCATTTTTCCCGTGCTTGGTTTTTTTTTCATGACCTTAGATTATGCTTCTGAACAACTAAACTCCTCATGTGGTGAGCTTCCGGGTTAGGCAATTGCTAGAGAAGTAATTGCTGGATTATCAATATTGTAGCGTAGTTTAGTTTGGAGTGGTCTTATAAGTTCAAAAGAAATAGATAATCTTAGAAGCTGCATAAAAGAAGAAACTTTCACGGCAGAGATATTTCATGGCATACACAATAGAGAATACTTAGGAATAAAAGCGTTCTGAGCTTGCTCTTATCGTTTTCTTTTCTAACTTTCTAGATGAGAGATGGCCGGAAGGAGATGAACATAATGTAGGGTTTTGAGGATGTTCGAGTTGATAAGAGTATATATAATACTTAAAAGGGTTAATTTGTCTCAAAAAACAAAAGAAACGACTGTTCAAACCAATCGCTAAGAATCATCAAACCCCAACTTCTAAACAACTAAATGATTCATATGATTCGACGGGAAATGTAAGCACATCGACACACTCAACATTACCCCAAACCTCACGTCCATTGCATCTTGATTCTAAAGAAATCCTTGCATACCAAATTGGTTTGTCACCAGAACGCTTCCACATAACTAAAAGTTTCCCACCATCGTTAGCAATGTCAAACTCTCTCCCATTTCGTAAACCCCTTGTACCGTGCTTACGAAGTTTTCCCAAACCTTTAATCCGTCTCCACTCTCCACCCTCACTACTCTTAGAGTCAAACCACATTAATACTCCAGAGAAAGTGCAGCCGTATAATACATTCTCTATCTCATACGAAATTATTAAGGAGGAGTCCAATAAGGAACTAGGTTGGTCTGTTACAAGTTTCCATGTACCATCCTTGGGGTTGTAAGCGTAATCCTTTTTATCTACACCTATGTAAAGCTTTCCATCACGCACATCAACCATTTCCACATCGTAGTCATAATTTTTATGTAAAAGACTGCGTAACTCGACTTCATCAGTGTTAGATTTTGTGTTTACAAAACAGAGAAGAGAAAGAATGAAAAAAACAGAGCAAGAGATAAAGAGTTTATCTCTTCTCTTATGAAGAAGAACATTACGAGGAAATTGGATTTTATTATCTGAAACTTGATTGTTTACAATACAACAACAATGGTTTATATAGATCATAAACAGACACAATAACATAAGAGTTGTGTCTCTTCATACTTGTGTCTCTTCACTAAAACTATCTAATCTCTTCATATAGTGTCATGTGTAGAGTTTTCCTTCAGATCCGTTTCTTTAATCTCTTCCTGCAGAGATTTCACCAACTTTAGTTGAATTTACTTTTTCTTTTTTCTTTTTCTTTTTATCACAAAAATCTATTTATTAATATTATTGTAGAGCTTCCTTCTAACCTCTCCATGTGCTCTAACTTGTCTGCCTTCGTGTTGTTTCTCCTGGGTATATGGAAAATTAGGGGTTTTTTATTGATAAAGGTTATAAACTTAGGGTTAACTAAGCACTAGTATAGGTCTTTGGAAGAATCTAATATATTATTTGCGAAGTGAAAATTTCGTTTGAGGCACCACATTAACTCTCAGCTGGTTGATTACCCAGCTACCCTTAATGAAAATCTATTATTAAATCTTCATAATTCTTTTTTTATTAATTATTGTTTTATTGTATAAGGCCAAAAAAATATAGAAAATCTTGACGATATCTTCAAAATTTCCTTTTTTTTATTAATTATTCGTTTTTGTATTATGGAAAAAATACATTATTTTTATCTTATAAAAAGAATAAAATTATAATTATTTTTATAAAAAGAGAAAACCCTAGATTTTAGAAATCTATATACAAAGCTAGAAGTTGTCCATCTCAAAGTCGGGTCTTCGTGTTCTTCATCTTTATGTTTTAGGTAGATTGTTCATGTTAATTATCTTGGAAATCATAACATATAAATCATCGTAGACCATAGACTCGGTAAATCTCTCTCTGTATATCGTAGCTCAGAATTCAATTTTCTGCTAGACGTAAAGTGGTTGAAGTAAAGCCTTACCCTTGATATAGGAAGAAAAAGCTTACTGCACAAGTAAAGAATAAGAATAAAAGGCTACAGCTCCTGATTTCAAGAGTTTTGAGTTAATATAATGGTTTAGATGTTAAGCTGCTTTGGGATTTGACTATGGTCGTGTTCTTTTCAAAGTCGCCAGCGGCTACGACATGCGATGGAGAAAATAGCCTATGAGGGAAAGAAAATAACACTGAACTGTCGCTCGAGATGAACGCGGGTGCTGTCCATGACGTCTTTTTTAGTCGCTGGAATTTATGGGCGACAGTTCTCATGTCTTGCGATTGGCTCGACTCCGCTCATGACGCAACATGCCTCCGCCACCACCGAATAATTTCGTAATCATGACTATTTTCTCAGTCGCAGTCGCAGGTGCAGCGACTTTGAAAAGAACACGACCTATGGAGTAATCTTCCTTTGCTGAATTAGTTGTTGGTAAAATTTCTTACTCAAGTTTTTAGGTTTACTTTTCACATAACACACAAGGTATTGAACTGGATTGGCTTCTGAGTACAATTCTTTCGCTAATTGTTGTTTAGATCTCTTCATCCAACACTGCAGGTATGGATGATGAAGAAGACGGATCTGCCTCTATCCATCACATGCTTGACGATAAGCATAGAGTTGCATTTTTCAAGAGTTAGCTTGCCAATATCGCTGAGGCTTTCAAGTGAGCCAACGTTTTTTTCTTCTTCATTCATATGCTTGCAAGCAACAAAAACTTAGGAAACAGAGACATCATACTGAGAGAGTGATTTGTTAATGATGAAAACTGAAACACAGACGAAGTGGATATAAATGTATACTGTGTGGTCGTTGCTGGACAACTTTGAGCCCATCATGAAATTTCTGAAAGGTCATGAAGTCAACAAAGGTAAAAAGGTATGAAAAAGCTGGAAACCAAAGCTAGCTAAATACTTGATTAACATAAATTGCGGTCGTTATAACTTTGTATCAAACAACTAAATTAGTGGATAATGATGGCATAGAGCCATAACAAACAGAACTACTTGGGCTGCTCTTTGGTTTCAAAACTCATATTCTGAATTAAGCTTTTTTCTTTTTCGTTTTACCCAACAATTTATGTGTTTCTCTCTTCTTTTCCTATTTTTTTTTTACTATACGTGAAGATTAGTGTTCTACCAGGATGTTCAGCTTATGCAACTGGAGGAATGTCCCCATGATTATTTAAGAATAAAAGTTTGCAGCTCATGAATAATTCATGTGCATTATAATACAATTATGTTGATGCAAGTGCATGCCACATTGTTATTGTCAAAACAAAGGTTAGAAGAAAAAAAAAAAGATGCACCGGTTAAACGTCATATGGGCAATCAGAGAAGGTTCGATCGCCTTATTTTGATCTTGGTTTGTGGTGAATCACTGAATCTTCTTTCACTAAAGTTGTATGCATATTGCTATTTGAATGTTTACTGTACTGTTAATTATATATGCATCTTGATAGAATCATTAACGTTAGTGATTAAGCCAAAGCGCAAGTCAAAATTCATGGCTCTAATGGTTCCATACTTTACTTATAGAGATCATTATTTTTAATTCAATATTCAATAATTTTTAGTTTTCCCTGTAAACACTTCTTAACAGTGTTTATCTTTGAGAAAAATTGTTTTGTATTCATCAAGTGATGAGATCAAATTCTCCATTGGAGCAACCAAAGGCAACCTCTTAGCATATACTATTATTATTATTTTTTTTTTGGGTGCAAATGTGAAGATTTATACCATTTTCGAAAATATAAAGTTACTGTTGCTGAGCAACTTATTACAAAGAAAAGAAAAGAAAAAAAAAAACAGAGACAGAAGCCAACAAGACTAATCTGGCTCTCTTACACAAACGAAATAAACCTCCAGAAGGGAAGGTTTGATGAACGTTTTACTAACATGTGAGTTGATGGACGTGAAAGTGGGGGACTTAATTGTAATTCAAACTAAGATGGTTTCGCGGTTGAATATATCTCTTAAGTTAGAGAGCCGGTGTGAGTCGAAACAAATCTTTATTCGGGTTTGGGTATATCGGGTCCAAGTCTAAAAAACCAAATTATACTCGATATTTTCCTATTATGATTCAGGTTTCGATATCCTGATTATTATCACCCGAAAAACCAAAAATATACCCAATATCTCCGAAAAATTCCCAAAAACCCTAAAATATCCATTAACCCAATTTTGTTTTACAAAAGAATAAATATAAATACTGGAAATGTATCCGAAATCCCAAAGAAAATCTGAAAAACCGAAAAATTAATTCATATAATATCAAAAATAATTCACAATACTCATACTTCAGATCAAGTATCGATTCTGTTCGGGTATTATTTGATATCCATGAGTATTAAAATATTTTATCCAATGGGAGATTTGATTTATATCCGAAACCAATCGGATATAGAAATTTAGAGTTGGCACAATTCAGATTTTTGGGTATCGGTTAAAAGTTAAAAGTCTGAGGCCTACAAGCAACAAGTAAGGAGTCTTGGTGTAAGCTAAGTTTGGGGCATAATGGAAATCCTTAAAGAATAGCATTATGATACTTCTAAGCTAAGTTAATGGTATAACGAATATATGGTTTGGAAAAAATAATTCTCTCAACACTATTTCTGAATTGCCGTTTGAAAAAAAGGCATATATGTTAGCTCTAGAATGAGCCCCACCCAAAAACTTGCATAGTATGAAGATAATGTTTTGGTGCAAGAAGTAAAATAACATGTAAATTACTACTTTGCAAGAGGAGATTGTGGACCAAATAGATGTCGAAAAGTCTTCGACTGTATTAAAGAAGCTTGGTTTTACCCTAATTAGAAATTTATAACTCATATTAAACTGCACTGAAGATTTTAGGTTAATGTAAGTCATATATCATTACAAAGAGGTTCAACATAAATTTTTTGTAGGAGGTAATACACACGAAATCAAGAAACTATAATGATAATGTAGGTGCTTCATATGTCATGTTTAGCAACCATTGGGTAACTTACTCAAAGCAAATCTAGAGAACGGGAGATCCACTAAATACCAATGAAAAAAGAGATAAAGAGAAAGAACCACAAAACAACTACTTCTTTTAAGAAAATCTTGAATCATTTTGTAAGGTGGGGTTAGAATGTACGGTTTAGGAGGGGGGGGGATAATGTGGGTTAGGATGTATGGTTTAGAGGGGGGAGTTAATGTTGGGTTAGGGTTTAGGGTGTAGGGTTTATACTGTTAGATGTAGGGTTTAGTTTTTCATGCATTTTTCAAATTTTGAATATACTAACATTGCTGATTTAAAACAAAAACAACTAAAACAATAAAAGTAAATCCAGAACCAGTTTGTAATGTGAGGTTAGGGTGTAACATCAGTGGTTGATATATTGATAAATCTAACAGACTGAGTTCTTGGAGATTCTTGAGCTTCCCTACAGTCAAAGGTATTTCACCAATGAATCTGTTTGAGCTTAAATCTATAAATCTAAGTTCAGGGCAATCTTCGATATCGGAAGAGATAGTTCGGGTGTGTTGGAGATAACGAGTTTCTAAAGTGAGCTAAACGAAGAGATGTTAAAAGGGAAATGTAAAGCCATCTGAACAGAGACGACATTGGTCATTGTAACAAGTTTGTATGAGGAGGAACACCTGATGTAAGGCTATCCCACTGGGTCGGAGTTAGAGGGATTCCAGCCGGAGAATGTTGTGGGGTGGCGAACTGGAGCTGTGAAGCCAAGAAATCAAAGCAGCCACTGAGGAAAGAAAGAAGGTAATAAAAAAAAACTAGAAACAGTTAAGGCTTTCTTGGAATCGGCAACTACAAGACTAGATGAAGGAGTATGCATAGAGTGGGTTGTAGTGGCAGAGTTTGAGGGACTCTAAATAGAAATCCTCTCTACTTATGG